AGCCTCCTGAGTAGCTGGGATTACAGGCATGCATCACCAAGCCCAGCTAATTTTTGTATTTTTAGTACAGACAGGGTTTCGCCATGTTGGCCAGGCTGGTCTCGAACTCCTGGCCTCAAGTGATCTACCCGCCTTGGCCTCCCAAAGTGCCAAAGTGCTGGGATTATAGGCACAAGCCACCGTGCCCAGCTGGATACCTGTATTTTTCTAAAATGGCATAGCCTACAGTTCGGATGAGGTATTCTGTTTCATACGTGCTGAACACAAGAATGTGAATAAAACTCCTGGAAAGCCCCATTTGCTATGGAGCTACAATGGTCCAACACCCAAAGAAGTGAATTCTGAGCTTAATCTAAATCCAAGTAGCTCAACAGAGTCCTCCACAGAGGTCAGCAGATCTAGGATCAAGATTAAGCTCTGCCACTCACTTGCATGTAGCTATGAGAAAGTTAATTGACTTCTCTGAACCCTAATTTCTTTATATGAATAAAAAGAGAACTAAAGAGCACCAGAAATTAAAAGAATTGCTGAGGGGACACTACCAAAATCCTAAAGCACAGAGCACATCTGAGGGCAGAGGGCATACATCAGCATGTATCTCTGCATGGTGTTTGGAGGACAGCCCACCACTGCAAACCCATCCACTGGAATATAAGTTCCACATGGGTTTGTGTCTGTTTTGCTCACCGGCACATCCCCTAGAACAGTGCCTGCCACATAGTAGGCACTCAATACATATTTGTTGGATAAATGACTGTGCATCCATATTTGGGGCTCTTTGGCATCTCAAGCCCCATATTCTCTGTGAAATGCTCCCCTGGTTAGGGGACATTAGAGCCTGGGGTAAGGCCCCAGCCTTAAGGGGCACTGCTCTGGAGGCCCTGTAGAGTTGGTTGTTTTCACACTACAAAATCCTGTGGATGAGTTTAAAGATGGATCATCTCTAAAGGGAACTGAGCTCTCTAAAGAAAAGTGCTAGCAAGCGCAGCACATGTGGTATCATGGCGCCGTCTGGAAATAGAGATGATTTAACTCAAGGTCCTATATTGTTCTAGTCATATAATACTGATAACTACCCGTACTTGGTAATTTGAAAATTTTTAATGGCTGCCCTTTTTTAGGGTCCAGAGAAGACACAAGTTGATGCCTCACTTGATCAATTCTTTAAGGTATGGATATAAAACAAGATTCATGGCACAAGCCAATGCCAACTCATTGGTAGTCGTATATAATTTTAAACTTTGAAAGTTAACATAAAAGACACAAACATATGCATGTGTGTAATGTAATCAGAGAATATTTTAGGAAAATAAAAGCCACTGATAACCCTACATGCCTAGATGATCCTTACTAACATTTTGGTACACACAACCTTCCATGCTTATACATGCACTTCTGGTTTTGTCATGAACATGCATTCATTCCTTCATTCTATCTTCTCCAAATATCCACTGAGGGTCTACTACATGCTAAGCTCTGTTCCAGCACTGAGAATACATCAATTAATTAAGACCAAAATTCCTGTCCTCATGAAGCTTATGAATGAAGATTATACTTTCAGATACTAATCAATTCTTTGAAAAGCAGAAAGGGCTAGAACGTGATGAGATCTGAAGAGGACTACTTCAGACTGGAGCTCTAAGGAGACAATATGTGAGGCGAGATCTGAAGTGGAGTATGCGCCATGTAAAGGTGCAGGGGAAGAGCACTCTAGAGAGGAAGGAAACAGCAAATGTCAATACCCTGAGCTGGTAAATGATCCTGGCAGGTTCTAGAAAATTAAGAAGCAACTTGGAATCACACCTCTATGTACAGTACTGTAAAATGTTTTCCAGAGTTCCATGACAAAGATTCCAGATCACATCCAGACTCCTTGAGAAACAGTGCTGCGGTCTAGTAAAGCCAGTTCCGGGCATGGGAGAGGGAAGCAGGAAGCCCATGACATCTCTGCTACACAAGCTACTGTCCCCACTACGAACTTATAGTGGACTACATAAAAAAATAGAGCCCAATCAGTGTAAGAGTTAGAAAACCCACTCCAAAATGGTTTCTGACTACAGCAGGTAAGATGAAGTATGTACATCTAAGCACCTCTCTTTGGGTAGGCTAGTAGATTCTTTTCTAATTTATTTTAATCTCAGAACCCAAAGAAAAGACAAGTACATCTGCTCCCTACATAGCTAGGGCAGAGCATGCTCTAAACTCATGCACTAGACTTTGAACCCCCAGGATTCTCTAACAGAAATCCTTCAAAGCTCCTTAGTGAGGAAGGCCTTACATGAAAGAAATTGAGAACAATTAGCATTTATTCAGCACTTGCTATGAGACAGAAGCATTACATTATAATCCTGAAAGGCAGATATCATAATCCCCATTTTACAGAAAAGGAAACAAAAGCTCAGAGAAATCAATTAACTTGCCCAAAGGTACAGTTGATAGCTGGTAAATCTGGGATTCAAAACCAGATCTTACTGACTCCCAATCTTACCACTTTTCCTTTCTAAACCTTCAATGTATCCCTTCAAATTTTTTGAGGCAGTAAGGAATACACAGCAATAGGGTAGAGGCTTTTCTCCCATAATTCCACAACTGTCAAGTTCTTCTCTTTCCCTACTTAGGCACCGATATTTTGCCAAATCTCCAAACACAAAACTCTCATTAAACGGGCATGTATCCTTGACACCTAGGAATTTGTATCCAAGATCTAGGCAAGTACTGCCACCTTATGGGTAAGATCCTTCATTGCTAATTTAGCACCTGGGTTGGGCCAAGAATAATAATCTGCCTCCAAACCAAGAGGTTGTTTTCATACTTTGTACATTCAGGTTTACTGTGAGAGTATCCATCTTTCAGGGTGTGGAAGTTTTCTGAATAGGAATGGTGATGAATGTATTCATTCTACAAATAAATATTATTTATTTATTTACACCAGGAATTGTACTAGGAATTAGGGATACAGTGGTTGAAAAAAAATATAGCTTTTCGCTTTAGGAGCTTACAGACTATGGGAGGTCACAGATATTAAAATAAAAGTTACAAATGGACAAATACTATGAAAAATAACTACAAGATGCCATGAGAGAGTGCACTGGGAAAAATGAATTTCGATTGACAGGAAAGGTCTCTTTGAGGAAGTGTCGTGAAAATTGAGAACTAAGCTTGAGTAAAAGCCAGACTGAGGAACAGAGTGGGTGTAAGAGAGCTCCCTGAAGATAGTTTGCTTGTAAAAAGGCCCAAGGACAGAAAAGAACTCGGTGGGTTGCAAAACACTGAAAGACCATGTTGCTGGAGTATAATGAGCAAAGAACAGTATCAGATGAGAGGAAAAGGTAAGAAGGGGCCAACTCATGCAGGAACCTAAGGGCATTTTTAAGGCACTGGTTTTCCTCCACATGAACTGGAAGTGGCAGCCACTGAAAGAGTTTGAGGAAGGAGTGATATGATTTTATTTACCTTTTAGGATCATTATTGTTGTGTGGAGAATGGATTAAGTGGCAGGCAGGGATGGCAAGTAATTTGAAAGCTACTGCATGGACTGGGTAAGAGAGGGTGGTGGTTTCGTCTAAAGTGATGAGTGTGGAAGAGAGAAGGGAATGGAATTAAGGAATATTTGAAGAGGTGGAAATGGCAGGACTTGGTGATGAACTGAATGAGGTAAATGAAAACATTATCTATTAGAAAGCATGGATGTGAAAAATATCTCTGATTGATCAATTCAGACCTGGGCCATATGTTGGAAAAGACGAAACAAAGCAGCACAGTGTCACAACCAAAGGGGGTTTCAGGGGGAAACTAGTTCACTTCCCTTTGATTTAAATTTTGAAAATCATATAAAAGACATAGACATATGCATATGTGTAATGTTATCAGAGAATATTTTAGGAAGATAAAAACCATCGATAATCCTACATGCCTAGATGATCCTTACTAACATTTTGGTACACACAACCTTCCATGCTTATACATGCACTTCTGGTTTTGTCATGAACATGCATTCATTCCTTCATTCTATCTTCTCCAAATATCCACTGAGGGTCTACTACATGCTAAGCTCTGTTTCAGCACTGAGAATACATCAATTAATTAAGACCAAAATTCCTGTCCTCATGAAGCTTATGAATGAAGATTATACTTTCAGATACTAATCAATTCTTTGAAAAGCAGAAAGGGATAGAACGTGATGAGATCTGGAGAGGACTACTTCAGACTGGAGCTCTAAGGGACAATATGTGAGCCGAGATCTGAAGTGGGGTATGCGCCATGTGAAGGTGCAAGGGAAGAGCATTCTAGGAGAGGAAGGAAACAGCAAATGTCAATACCCTGAGCTGGTACATGACCCTGGCAAGTTCTAGAAAAATAAGAAGCAACTTGGAATCACACCTCTATGTTCTATAAAATGTTTTTCCAGTTAATATATCATGAACATTTCCCTATACCGGGCTCGGCAAATTATCTTTGCTTTTGCATATAGTTTTATTCAAACACAGCCATCTAATTATTTTACATATTATCTATAGTTGCTCTCATGCTATAACAATACTGAATAGTTTTTTGTGCAAAACCTAAAATATCTACTATCTGGTACTTCAAGAAAAAGTTTGCTGACTCCTGGTTTATGCTAGTAAATATTCTTATAAAATACGACGTTAATAGCTGCCTAATATTTTCCTTAAATGCCCAGCAGAATTTCCCTAACTTCTAAGAACTCAAGAGTGAATCTTTTTTACAATGAGCACAGCATTTGCAATCCAAGGTTGGCAGGCAAGATGAACCCAGTGAAGGAAGGAATATAGGAGAAGGTGTTACCTTGCCTGTGAGGCGCAGGTGCTGACACAGAGCTGTCTGCCAGGCACAGATCCACTGGGGATCCTCCAGGTCACGGTAGCAGTAATAAAGGAGCACCTCCCCTTCTTCATTGCCCTGGCCACTACAAAATGAAAATCCGAGGCAAAGAGCATTTTAGTCGCTGACATAAAGAAGTCACAATTCATACAGTACACGAGGGAAGGCTAAGATGAAGACACTCATGCCTGCCTTTGCTCTGATTATTGTTCTCCTGAAACGAGAAGCAACTTCTTTTTATATTTGCTCTACAGAAGACAGTATCTGCACTGAACTTACTTTACAAAAAGTGAGTTTACTTTGATCCCTCATTTAATGGTCACATCCAAGAGACAGGTATCAGTAACTCCAATTCATAGAAAAGTTAGAAATTTGGTTCCATTCTGGCTTATCCTCTCACATAAGGCAGTATCTGTATGAATCATCATACAAAAAAGTTTCACTTCCATTTTTTCTTATAACCCTCTTTCTATGATGCAGGTTATTATTATCCCCATTTTACAGTTGAATAAATTGAGGCCAATTCCTCCCAAGTCAGCCAGCCAAAAAGTGATAGTAAGGACTTAAATGCCAGTCTTCTGACACTAGATCTATACTCTTTCTACTGCACTGTGCTGTCATACTAACTAGCTGGGCAGGTCTTTCATCACTTCTGGGCCTTGGTTTCCTCGTATGTAAAAGGAGAGAATGGAAATAAACTATATTTTCCAAAGTGTGTTATGAAGCTGTTCTATAAAGTCATATTTGGAAACCCTACAGACAGCATCTCCCTCCTTAAGAATCCCAGCAAAAGCCTCTAAAAGGCTCTGAGAAGTCTTGCAGTAACAACATTTTGACTGAGTGCTTCCCAAATTTGTCTTTAATACCCCTTTTTTCAATACCTTGTTAGCATCCTCTAGAACTAGTGTCCCACAGAACATATTTTAGGGAATGTTACAGTACAGGACAATTAAGGTACTATCCAGCTCTGGAGTCTGATTCTCTCATCAACGGCCTCATCATATTTCAGGACCTAATCTCCTCCATGCAACCTTCTTATCTATTTTAGATCCTATTTTCCTTTCTCTAAGTTCCTATAACAAATTATTCTCTGTATCATACAATTCAACTGATAATTATGTAACCTGTATCATCTGCTAATTATCTCATGTGTCTTTTTCTTTGTTTCTCTAACTACTAAGTAACTTCCCTGAAGTGTGGGGCCATATGAAATGGAAGGGCCATATCTGTATAGAACAGTGTAGTTCACAACTGCTCATACTATCACCATCCTATTATATAACTCATTCCGCAGTACTGGGAGGTAGGCAAGGCAGGCATTATTATTCCAATTTTAGAGGTGAGGAAATGAAGGTACAGAAAATTTTAGTGACAAGCTCAAATGTGACTTCTACTTAAATTTGCTTTCTTTCTGCTTTCCAATAAGCAAAAGGGAATGTGGTACTGAGTAGTAATTACAAAAATTTATCAAATTTGGACTACAGTTGACCCGTGAGCAACATGGGTTTGAACCGTGTGGGTCCACTTATTTGCAGATCTTTTCGTGCCTCTAGTACTCATGAGGCAACAAGACCAATCCCTCTTCCTCCTCAGTCTACTCAATATGAGGGTGATAAAGACCTTTACGAAGAGCCACTTCCACTGAAAAAACAGTAAATATATATTACGATTTTCGTTTTCTTTTTTTTTGTAGGGACAGGGTCTTGCTATGTTGCCCAGACTGGTCTTGAACTCCTGGCCTAATGTGATCTTCCTGCCTTGGCCCTCCACAGTGCTGGGATTACAGGCATGAGTCACTGCACCTGGCCTCTTATGATTTTCTTAATAACATTTTCTCTAGCTTACTTTAATACAGTACACAGTATACAATATACATAATACTGAAAAATGTGTTCATTGTTTACATTATTGGTAAGGCTTCAGTCAACAAGAGGCTATTAGTAAAGTTTTGGGGGAGTTAAAAGTTATATGTGAATTTTCAACTGCCCCTAATCCTTGGATTCCTGACCCCGCGTTGTTTAAGGGTCAACTGTATTTCTATTTACTAAATAGTTCAAGAATTGCTTAAAGTCAGAAATTTGTCCTCTGGAATTCTGCAATATGACTTGGTGAGTTTTTCAGAGCCACGATCTAAACATCTAATCCTATGATTCAGTTTTAAAAGTTAATATACTTCCTAAAACATATTCAGCTCAGAAAACTGTATTTGGCAATAAAAACCTGATATTGTTTGGCTGTGTCCCCACCCAAATCTCATCTTGAATTGTAACTCTCATAATTCCCACGTGTCACTGGAGGAATGCAGTGGGAGGTAATTGAATCACGGGGGTAGGTCTTTCCCATGCTATTCTCAGTGAATACGTCTCACGAGAGTTGATGGTTTTAAAAATGGGAGTTTCCCTGTACAAGCTTTCTCTCTTTGCCTGCTGCCATCCATGTAAGATGTGACTTGCTCCTCCTTGCCTTTCACCATGATTGTGTGGCCTCCCTGCCATGTGGAATTGTAAGTCCATTAAACCTCTTTCTTTCGTAAATTACCCAGTCTTAGGTATGTCTTTATCAGCAGCATGAAAATGAACTAATACAATAAACTGGTACTAGCAGAGTGGGGTGCTGCTGAAAAGATACCCAAAAAGGTGGAAGTGATTTTGGAACTAGGTAACAGGCAGAGGTTGGAACAGTTTGGAGGCTCAGAAGAAGACAAGAAAATGTGGGAAAGTTTGGAACTCTCTAGAGACTTGTTGAATGGCTTTGACTAAAATGCTGATAATGATAAGGACAATGAACTTCAGGCTGAGGTGGTCTCAGATAGAGATGAGGAACTTCTTGGGAACTGGAGCAAAGATGACTCTTGTTATGTTTTAGCAAAGAGACTGGCGGCATTTTGCCCCGCCCTAGAGATTTGGGGGAACTCTGAACTTGAGAGAGATGATTTAGGGTATCAGCAAAGCATTCAAAAGGTGACTTGGGTGCTGTTAAAGGCATTCAGTTTTAAAAGGGAAGCAAAGCATGAAAGTGCAAAAAATTTGCAGTCTGACAATGCAATAGAAAAGGAAATTCCATTTCTGAGGAGAAATTCAAACTGGCTACAGAAATTTGCATGAGTAATGTGGAGCCAAATGTGAATCCCCAAGACAACAGGGAAAATGTCTCTAGGTTCTCATGACAGCCCCTCCTATCACATGCCTTGTTGCGGGAAGTCAGGGACCCCGAACGGAGGGACCAGCTGAAGCCATGGCAGAAGAACATAACTTGTGAAGATTTCATGGACATTTATTAGTTCTCCAAATTAATACTTTTATAATTTCTTACACCTGTCTTTACTGCAATCGGGAAATATACATTGTGAAGATTTCATGGACATTTATCACTTCCCCAATCAATATTCTTATAATTTCCTATGCTTGTCTTTACTTTAATCTCTTAATCCCATCATCTTCATAAGCTGAGGATGTATGTCACCTCAGGATCCTGTGATGATTGCATTAACTGCACAAACTGTTTGTAAAACATACGTGTTTGAACAATATGAAATCTGGGCACCCTGAAAAAGAACTGGATAACAGCAGGGCCGGACAGAACAGAGTCATATTTTTCTTATTGCAGAAAACGAGTAGGAGAAATATCACTGAATTCTTCTCTCAGTAAGGAATAACCCTGGGAAGGGAATGCATTTCCTTCCCAGGGGGTGCCTACGTACAGCCGCTCTGCGGGGTGTCTGCCTTATACAGCTGAAGGTAAGGGATGAAACACACCCTGGTCTCCTGAAGTGCCCCCAGGCTTGCTAGGATCAGGAAATTCCAGCTTGGCAAATTCTAGTCAGACCGGTTCTCTGCTCTTGAACCCTGTTTCCTGTTAAGATATTTATCAATGACAACGCGTGCACAGCAGGACATGAAACCTCATCAGTATTTCTAATTTCACCCTGGTCTTGTGATTTTGCTCTGCCCTTCTGCCCTTGTGACCTTTTATTGCCATTTGAAGCATGTGATCTCTGTGACCCACTCCCTATTCGTACACCCCTCCCTTTTTGAAATTCCTAATAAAAACTTGCTGGTTTTGTGGCTCAGGTGGGCATCACGGAATCTGCTGACATGTGATGTCACCCCTGGAGACTCAGCTGTAAAATTTCTCTCTTTTGTGCTCTTTCTCTTTATTTCTCAGATCCTCCGACACTTACGGAAAACAGAAAAAAACTATGTTGAAATATTGGGGGCTGGTTCCCCCGATAATGCCTGAGTGTCTAGGAGGAAAATGGTTTCATGGGCTGAACCCGGGGTCAGTCTAGGGACTTGGTGCCCTGCATCCCAGCTGCTCTAGCTGTGGCTGAAAGGGGCCAGTGTAGAACTCAGGCCATGGTTCCATAGGGTGCAAGCCCGAAGCCTTGGCAGCTTCCAGGTGGTGTTGAGCCTGTGAGTGCACAGAAGTCAAGAATAAGGGTTTGGGAACCTCTGCCTAGATTTCAGAGGATGTATGGAAACACCTGGATGCCCAGGCAGAAGTTTGCTGCAGGGGCAAGGCCTTCATGGAGAACCTCTGCTAGGGCAGTGTGGAAGGGAAATGTGGGGTCAGAGCCCCAACACAGAGTTCCCCCTGAGGCACCACCTAGTGGAGCTATGAGAAGAGGGCCATGGTCCTCCACACCCCAGAATGGCAGATCCACTGACAGCTTGTACCGTGCACCAGAAGGCTGCAGACACTCAACCCCAGCCTGTGAAAGCAGTCAGGAGGGAGGCTATGCCCTGCAAAGCCACAGAAGCAGAGTTGCCCAGTATCATGGGAACTGACCTCTGGCATCAGCATGACCCGGATGTGAGAGATGGAGTCAAAGGAGATCATTTTGGAGCTTTAAAATTTGACTGCCCCGCTGGATTTAGGACTTGCATGGCGCCTGTGGCCCCTTTGTTTTGGCCAATTTCTCCCATTTGGAATGGCTGTATTTACTCAATGCCTGTGCTCCCATTGTATGTAGGAAGTAACTAACTTGCTTTTAACAGGCTCATAGGCGGAAGGGATTTGCTTTGACTCAGATGAGACTTCAGACTGTGGACTTTTGAGTTAATGCTGAAATAAGACTTTGGAGACTGTTGGGAAGGCATAATAAATGTAAGGACATGATATTTGGGAGGGGCCAGGGGTGGAATGATATGGTTTGATTGCGCCCCCACCCAAATCTCATCTTGAATTGTAACTCTCACAATTCCCATGTGTCATGGGAAGACTCCAGTGGGAGGCAACTGAATCATGGGGATGAGTCTTTCCTGTGCTGTTCTTGTGATAGTAAGTCTCACAAGATCTGATGGTTTTAAAAACAGGAGTTTTCCTGCACAAGCTCTCTCTCTTCACCTGCTGCCATCTAGGTAAGATGTGACTTGCTCCTCCTTGCCTTCCACCATGATCGTCAGGTCTCCCCTGCCATGTGGAACTGTAAGTCCATTAAACCTCTTTCTTTTGTAAATTGCCCAGTCTTGGATATGCCTTTATCAGCAGCATGAAAACAGACTAACACAAAACCCTTTTTCAAGCTCTGACATTACATAGGGTAGAGGAATAATTAATGTCTCTGTGTCTTCCCACTTGTTTTTGAAAATAATGTAATTTTCTTTCTTTACCTCTCCTCCCTAGAGAACATATAGAATGGTCTCCAAGAAACCTTGCAAACATGCTAGATGCAGAGGCTCATGCCTGTAATCCCAGCACTTTGGGAGGCCAAGGTGGGCAGATCACCTGAGGTCAGGAATTCAAGACTAGTCTGGCCAACATGATGAAACCCTGTCTCTACTAAAAATACAAATTAGTTGGGTGTGGTGGTGCGTGCCTGTAATCCCAGCTACTCGGGAGGCTGAGGCAGGAGAATCACTTGAACCTGAGAGGCAGAGGTTGCAGTGAGCCAAGATCACGCCATTGCACTCCAGCCTGGGTGACAGAGCGAGACTCTGTCTCAAAAAAATACCAAAAAACAAAAAAAAACACAAAACCTCGCAAGCAATGTCAACTGACTGGGTATATGCTGCTGCACAGGCTACGGTCTGTGGCTACATATAGTATGTATGTTATTGGCCTAACTTAGGCCTCTAGAATTCTGTGCCTTAAGGATCTAGCTGTTGCCAGTAGTTAAGATCCTGACAGAATGGGTAAAGTGCAGGCAGTGGTGCTAGGTAATACACACTAAAAAGTAACAACTCTGAGGTATGGTGCCCAGCCTCCAAGATGATCCCTGATGACCCTGCCTCCTGGTATTCAGACCCTTGTGTAGTTCTCTTCTACAGTGTACTGAGGTTAGTCTATGTGACCAATAGCATCAATAAAAAGTGATGGTATGGCAATTCTAAGATTAGGTCATAAAAGATTGTGGTTTCTGTTTTGGTGTCTTTGTCTCTCACAAATCACATGCCACGTCATGACAGCACTCAGGCAGCCTATGAAGAGACTCCCATAGAGAGGAATGGAGGCCTCTGACTAAAAGCCACTGAAAAAACAAGCCTGCCACCAACCACATGAGCAAACCTGGAAACAGATTTACTGGCCCCAGTCAAGCAATGAGATGACTGCAACTTCATGACAGACTCTGAGCTAGTACCACCAACTATGCTGTGGCTGGATACCTGACCCTCAAAAACTGAAATATTGTTTGTTGTTTTAAGCTGAATTTGTTACACAGCAATAATACAGAGGGTTTGGATCTAGAATTAGGAGAGAGGGAGGAGAGGTAACAGAATAGTAAGTCTGAGCCTTCTTAGTAAAAAGATAAACTTTTATACCTTCCTACTTAAGTTCATCCTGATGGCATCAAAGCACTCAGAAAAAGTTCAATCACATTCACTATACTCTATTTAATTATGTCTGAAAGATTCCAGGAAAAAAAAAAAAAAAAGGTTAAATCAAAGAAACTTTAGATGCTTTAAAATGTAAGCTACATTTACCTGCTTTCTGAAAAATTCACTATGTGCAATGCTACATTCCCCAATAAACCTAATAAATGATGCATTTTTTCTGGATACATATATTTGAAATCATACAGATAATGATATCTAGCTTAAACCCCCCCTTTTTTTTTTGCTTAGTTTTTCCTGTCCTATTTATTTAAAAATGTTTAAAGCATGGCACAGTTTACAAGTGAAATACACAGATCTTAAGTGTAAAGTTTGATCATTTTTGACACAGGTACACCTGTGTAATCCACACCACTATCAAAACCAGAACATTTCCAAGACCTCAAAAAATCTCTTGTGTATTCCCAAACTCTCTGCCAGAACCCTTCTATCATTACATATTAGTTTTGCCTTCAAGTATAGGAAATCAGAAAATATGTATTGTGTTGTCTGGCTATTTTCACTCAGCATAAGGATTTTCTCATTCACCCATAGATGTTCTTGAATATTAGCGGTTCACAGCACTGTATTGTTGTGCAGTATTCTTACATGACTATACCAGTTTATTCATTCCCCTGTTGATGGATATTTGCAGTTGTTTCCAGTTTTTGTTATTATGAACAAAACTGCTGTGAGCATTCTTGTACAAGGCTTTCTGTGGACATGTTTTTATTGCTGTTGGTATTACATCAAGGAGTGGGCCACAGGAACGATGCATGTTTAAGAAACCGCCGAACACTTTTCCAAAGTGGTTGTGCAATATTACATTCCCACCAGCAGTGACTGGGCGTTCCAGTTGTTCCACATCCTCATTCACATTTGACAGAGTTGGTCTTTCTCACTTTAGCCATTTTAATGAGTGAATTGTAGTATCTCATTGTGGTTGGAAAAATACTTTAAATCAAACCGAAATACAGAATGAAAATCTTACCTTATCAGCTCATCAGGGTTAAAGCAGCTTATATCAGGGAGCCAAGCAGACACTTCATGACTATGTGGAAGGCACTCTTTTAGAGGATTCTTTTCATCTGCAGACGAAAGACTCTTTGAGGAGCTCAATGTCACAGCCAGTTGCTTTAAAATAGAAGCTGTCTGGTGATAAATTTCATCAGCATGTTGTGTTGCCACATGTCTATGGATGCTGATTTGGTCTGTGAATAGTTGCTGACAGCATTTCCACAATTTTTCTTTACATTCAAAACTCCTTTTTGTCGGAACTTCTTTGGTTTTGACAAAAAGGGCAAAGGCCTGCAATTAGATTTCAAATACTAACACTGTTAAATAACCCTAGGTTTACGGCTAATAGAAGTTTCACTGAGATTCCTTATATTATCTTTCCACAGGGGCTTCCAGTTTTATGTTCCATTATGTTATACAATTCTCTGAGGAGTAACACGTCTCTTATTAGTAAGCTTTAGAAGAGACTATTAGAGAAATTAAAACTACGCTTTATATTGAGGAAGTTAAATAACTCTCAGCATAATTTTATTCTCAGGATATAAGGCTCTAAGTTACACTGGAATATACATAATACAGTTTGGTCTAAAATATTACAAATAACACTATCAGCTATTTTCGAAAGGAATAGGGAAAGTAAATTATGAAGTATGCTTACCATGGAATATTAAGCAGTCAGTTTTAAGTTATATGGAAAAATATTTATGATATAATATTAAGTGAAAAAAATTGGATAAAATTTGCTTATGTAATGTAATCTCAACCACATTATAAAGTACATTGAAAAAGACTGGGAAGAAACGTACCAAAACGTCTTCTTTCTTAGAAAATAATATTACTGTTTTTATAAAAATTATTTATGCTTATTGTAAAACAAACAGAAAATTCTCTTAACCAGTTACCAACTGATGAACATTCAGATTGTTTCTAATATTTGCAGTTAAAAGCAATGTTGAATGAGCATTCCATGCATCCGTCTTTCTATATCTTTAATCACCTACTTAGAACATCCAAAATAAAAATTGAGGGGTCAAAGAGCCTTAAATTTTAATCTGTAATAGTGACTTCCAGGAAAAATGTACCAATTTATACTCTAACCAGAAAAGCATGTGGGTGCCATTTTATCCACAGCCTCACTGAGTTCTACCAGTATCATCAATATTTTTAATGTTGGTCCAAATGAAAGGCAAAAGAAATGCTACCCTATTTTTTTTTTTTAATATCTTTGATTAGTAGTAATGCTGAATACTTTTTCCTGCTTATTCTATTTGTTTAATTCTGGCTTGTCTGTTCACATCTGTTGCCTATTTTTCCATTACGGCATTTATCTTCTTACTGAGATGGAAGTGTTTTTAGTGATCTTTTGTTGATCATAGTTACCAACTTTTTTCTTCACTTGTCATTTGGTTTTCAACTTTATGGGTTTTTTTTGACCTGGGGGGTGGGGAATGAAAACTAATCCATCTGTCTAGGATTCACCCTCCTCAAGTACTCCACCATGGCTATTCCAGGGCCACACTTGCCTATGATTACCCTTTGCCTGGGATTACCCTTTGCCTGGGATGGAATTAACATCACTGGTTAATGTCCCTGACTAGACTGGACCTTGAGCTGGAGAGCATCCTTGATAAGCTACTTCCAAATGTATCTGCATTAACCACACACACATGATCATGAAACATTCATAGGAATTCTACCTTTTTCTTTGCAAATGAGTATTTCTTTTTTGTACTGCCATCTAATTCTGCTTTGAGACTGCTGCTGGGATTAATAAGACTCGTATATTTTAAATCCAGGTCAGAAAATCTTAAAATGCTGGTCTCCAGGTCATCTCCTTGGTCTGGTGAAGTGGAAGAAGGCATCTGGTTGGTTGCAACAGTGAAGCAGATATTCCTTTCAGTTAAAGACCTCCTAGAATATAAGTAAGAAAGAAGCAGCCATGCTAGTCTTTGATTACTTCTTGAAGAAGATATGAAGCTAATCAATCATGCAAATTAGCATGGGCAAAGTAGCCCAAGCTAAGCATTCATTTACTTACTAAATCAATAGTATTTACTTAGCAACGACTCTAAGTCAAGCACTATTCTACACACTGAGAATATAGCAGTAAACAAAAGCAAAAGTTTCTGTCTGCTTAGAGTTTACATTCCAGTGGGGTGAAGTAAACAAGTGGATAAATTGATTTTTTATTTTTAAAGTCAGATGGTGAAAAGGTTATAAAGAATGACCAGCAAGGTAGGGAGGCAGTGATGGAGGAGCCCTTCGAACACAGAGAGTAGGAAAAGCTTTTCTGCAGCAACAGCATTTGGGCAGAAACCTGAATTAGGGAGCGAGCCATGCAGACATTAGGGTAAATAATACCAGAAAAGCACCAGGTACAACCCAAATCAATCAAGCTGTGTGCCAGTACCTTCAGTTATAAACGCTTTCTTCTTTTTGCCCCCTAATTTCAGGGCTATGCAAATTTCTTTCCTTAAAAGAAATAGTTCCCAAGAGAGCCCCACTGTAATGAGCCAGAAGAAATGTCAAAATCCCTACTGTGGCCAAATCTTGTCAAAACGGACACACTACAACCATCATACTGTATTGGTTCTTTTGTAAAGCAAAGGTTACAGGTGACAAGCACTAAGAGGCACACTGAGAAAAGGCATTGGCTTTGGTTTGTGCTGCAGCAGTTTGCCAAGCATGTGAACATGGGCAAGCTACTTCTGAGTTCTAAATCTCTCTTGTGGAAATTGTGCATTGTAGTATCTACATTACAGTACTGTACTGTGCACTGGAAAGAAATATTAATATATAGTGTCTGGCATATACTAGGGTTCAATGAATGGTAATATTAGTAATATTTTAATTTAATGCTGTATTTTAAATTTAACATTAACATTTTCTTTAAAAATTAGCTGTGACAGATTATATTTTCCAAAAATGGCTGCAGCAGTATTTCTGGTCCATTTCCCTAGGCCTAGGCAGGCTTGTTAACTGCTCCCAAAAATAAAATGTGATGGAAGCAATGCTGTATGACTGAGGTCGGGTCCTCAAAAGGAGATGCCAGCACTAGCTCTCATTCTGAGATGCTCAGGCTGAGGAGACCAACCACTGTACTGTGAGTAAGCCAATCCAACCCATGCAGAAATCACACACAGAGAACCAGGTGGAGAGGAACGGAGGAGGCCTCCAGCTGACAGCCAGCATCAACCACTAGACCCTTCAGATTCCAGATTGGTCTCTGAGCTGAGAGCAGAGACAAGGTGTTCCTGTTGTGCCCTGTCCAAATTCCTGCCCCACAGCATAACAACTGGTTATTTCATATTACTAGTGAACTGGCAAAGCTAGTTTCTTGAGGACAACATTGAAGGAAGCAGCCAGACATGGACACTCAAGGTTGTGAAAATAGTAACATGTAAAGAGGTCCTAAGCTCCACAAGAAGGAGCAGAAAAAGCACCCCTAAGAATGAGAAAAAAGAATGTGGGAGACACTGGTGATAAACTTTGACAATTCACAACTCTGTCTACAGGGTACCTCAACCAGGAGAAGGCAACGAGGAGCAGTTTATGTCTGGCGGAACACACACTGCTTGTTAACAATGCTGGATGGGATTGATGGAGACTACACACACACAGACACACGCAATACCAACTTCCTTATGAAGGACCTTTGTTCCTTGGATTCATAAATTAAGATGTCACTTGCACCACATAAAATGCATCTGAATCAGCTTAGTGGTGCTTCCATGGGGCTCAAAATGAGCTTTGTTCTAAGGGTAAGGCAAGGTAATACAGATTTATTAAACCCCAATTCTCCTGTATTTGAAAAATAAGTGGAAGAGACTGGGTGAAGAAACACTACCTTCTTTGGCTTCTCTTTCCTTTCTCATGAAAATCTCTTTCATTTAAAGTCCCACTGAAAAAAGTACATCTCTAACTCTACACAAACCTATAAGCCTCCCAGACAGAAGAAAAATAAGTAGAAGAATCTTATTCAACACACTTCCTCCATGCTCAAAGCTGTTTTATTGTAAAGGTAGAGAAAGAATATATATCATTTCCAAATTAAAATTCATTCAGCAAATATTTATGGAGGGTCTTCTAGGTTCCAGGCATTGTTCTAGAAACAGAGAACTTACTCACCTATAAGGGCAGTGCATGTGGGAGGTAACACTGTAGAAAGGAATTACTATCCAATCCGATCCCACCTCCAGCATCTTTCCCAATCTCCCTCTATATGACCTGATGTGGTCTGTCCCAGCATTTATGCTTTCCGCTGCTTTGTTTCCTTTACTTTTTCATCTCTTTCCCTCCCCATATGCTTACTATGTATAGCAAGACTGAGTTCAAGTGTTACCTTTCACTTATGTCTTGTCTGCTACCCCGTGTCACTGCTTCCTTTGAAGTCCTGAAAAACTTAAGTTTCTCTATACTCTAGGCTCATCTCTGACTATGCTCCCCATTCCCCATCACATATCCTACTCTGGCCACACTGGACCATGCCCAGTTCTACAAATGAGCCCTGTTCTTTCCTGATTCAAGGTCTCCACACCTGAGTGTGGGGTGCCTTTCCCACCACCCCAAAATGATCTCCTCAGACTCTGCATCTTTTTTCAGTCTCAGCTTATTTTCATTTACGTATATACTCTGAACTATTATTATTTGTGGCACCTCTGCTATGTGCCAGGCCCATGGACTAGTCCTGGGAATGCAGCTATGAATGAAACAGTTGAAGTCCCTGCTCTCTTGGAGCTTATATTCTGGTAAGGAGAGACATTAAGTAAGTTAAAAAAAAAAAAAGAAAATACCAGCTAGGGATAAGGGTCCCTGCTTCTCAGTTTCCTTTGCTGGCTCTTCCTTATTACCCCAACCTCTAAATGTTGAACTACTCTATATCTATACATACCCCACAGGTGATCTCATCTACTTCCAAGGACTCAAAACTATACTTGCCTCAAAATAATTGGGTGAGAGGAGGTAATATCAACGAAACCAGAATATTCATGAATTAAGAATTACTGAAGTTGATGATGAGTACACGGGGATGCATCATAAATTTTCCCTACTTCTGTAAATATTTGAAAATTACATGAAAAAAGAAAAAAGGGAAACATAAAGGAAATTTTCTGTTTAGAATACTATACAATAAATGACTCCAAATTCATATCTTCAACCTGGGCCTTTCTCCCAAACTACAAATTCACATACCCCACTGCGTGTGAAGCTAGCTAGCTTCAGCTTCAAATACAACTGTTCAAAACCAAACTCTGGTCTTCCCTAGTCTTCCTTATCTGAGTACAAGACAATTTTATTCTTCCTGTTACTCAGACAAAAAAAAACTTTGGGATGATTCCTGACTCCATATTTTCTTACACTATCATTCACTTGTTCAGAAAATCCTATTTTTTTTTTTTTTTCTTGAGACAGGTCTCGTTCAGTCGCCAGGTTGAAGTGCAGTGGCATGATCTCAGCTCACTGCAACCTCCGCCTCACGGGTTCAAGCGATTCTTCTGTCTCAGCCTCCCAAGTAGCAGCTGGGAGTACAGCTGGGACTCCCAAAGTGCTAGGATTACAGGCGTGAGCCACCATGCCTGGCCAGCTTTGCTTTTGAAGTACAATCTAATCAGATCACTTTGCACCATCATCTTCACTACCACCCTAGTTCAAGCTACTATCATTTGCAGCTTGAATTATTGCAACAGCAGAACTATCTTCCTCCTTTGGGAGCCAGAGAGGTAACTATTAAAAAATAAGTCAGACTGGCCCCGCACAGTGGCTAATGCCTGTAATCTCAGCACTGTGGGAGGCCAGGAGTTCAAGACCAGCCTGGTCAACATGGCGAAACCCCATCTCTACTAAAAATACACAAATTAGCCTGGTGTGGTGGCGCATGTCTTTAATTGCAGCTAATTGGGTGGCTGAGGCACGAGACTTGCCTGAACCTAGGAGGTGGAGGTTACAATGAGCCAAGACTGTGCCATTGCACTTCAGCGTGGGCAACAGAGCGAGACTCTATCTCAAAAAAAAAAAAAAAAAAAAATTCATACTCCAATGACTTCTCAATTTACTCGGATAATGTTCAAAGTCCTTACAGAGCACCTTCTCCCTACCCCTCTGATCTCATCTACTAGTCTCCCGTTGTTCACTACCTATGATGGCACTATTTGGGGCTATTCCTGAATGGATTGTTAGAATATATCAGCGCCACGAGAGCAGGGGTTTTCCTTTGTTCACCTCGACATCCTCAGCATTCAGAACTCTGCCTGGCACCTACGAGGTGCTAAATGCTAATAAATACAATATTCGCTGAATGAAATAAAACAGCAATTGGGTAACCAAAGAAGTCCTCACTAAGGACCTGATATTTGAGCTGAGACCTAAGTGACCAAGAGCCAGTCACGCAGATTTAGAACCAGAGACCTTCAGGTAAAGGAAACAGTATAAGTTCCTAAAATAAGAACAAGCTTGACTTATTGTAAGAACAGAAAGAGTGTCTGGAGTACAGTGAGGAGAGGTAGAACTCCACAGGCCATGGTATGGAGTGTGCAATGGAAAGTCGAAGGAGACTTTTTTTTTTTTTAAGACACGGTCTCGCTTTGTCCCCCAGGCTGGAGTGCAGTGGTGTGATCACGGCTCACCGTATTCTCGACCTCCTGGGCTCAAGGGATCCTCCCACCTCCGCCCCCAACCCTCCCCTCGAGTAACTGGGACTACAGGAGCCAAACACTAGGCCCGGCTTTTTTTTTTTTTTTCCTGTAAAGACAGTGTTCGCCTCGTTGTCCAGATGGGTCTTGAACTCCTAGGCTCCAGCGGATCCGCCCACGTCAGCCTCCCAAAGTGTTGGGATTACAGGCGTTAGCTACCCCGCCCGACCGTCACAGGAGACTTTTAAACGGAGCAGTAACACGATCTGATTCAGGATTTGTGTTGAAAGGAGAACAGGCAGGGTTTACAGATCATTGTTATGTAAAAAGTGAGGGAAAAGAGCTAAGAAAGACTCTCTAAATTTTTGGATTAAGCAGCCGATGGATGACGTCATTTACTGAAATGGGTAAGACTGAAAGAGAATTAGGCCGGGAGAGTGAAATTTCAGATGGCCATGGACAAAGCAAATAAGCCAGTATGGTACTCATAAAGACATCAGGGCAGGGGACGGTCACACACAGGCATACAGGTACCCAATAACCCTTGATTACTAAAACAATCATTTATTCCTTCTTAAGCAAACAACTTAGGGAAAATGACGGCCAGCCGGCAAGCCGGGAGCAGCACGCTCGCGTCAGGGCCGGCCTTTCCAACCCAGGGGGAGGCACGTGCGGCACCGCCTCCCGCCCAAGCCCCACCCCGCATGCCGAGCTTGGCCCAACCTCTCCGCCCACTTTTCCCAAGGCGGCAAAAGCCGGAAAGTGGGAGTAGACGAGCACATACCCGCCAGTCCTGATCCTTTCTTAGGTCTCTCGTCCCTGCACTGTTTCCAGCTAGCAATTGTTACCGCTCACTGCCCTGCAGCGTGTTCCCCGGCCGCGTGTTTGGGTAGAAAAGCTCGTTCGTGACGTCACCCGGCTCCGGAAGTCTCCTGGACGTCGGCGCAAGGGCCGCCGGGAAAACCATTGAGAGGCCGCCGGGAAAACCATTGAGAAGCCCCGGAGGACCGGCCTGAGCGGAGGCGGGGACTAGAGCGGCCGCCGGCACCACTCGCCTTCAGGCGTACGACGACAGCGGTCCGGGGTCTCTGACTGGCCAAAACGGCGGCACTTTCTGCGTGGCCCCGGAAGGACACAGAGCGGAAGGCGGGAGAAAGAAGCAGCCGGCAGGCGGGGGCAGCCTGAGGGGGCGGTTGCGTGTGTGCCCGACGCCCGTAGCCCACTGAGCTTCCTCACGCCGGCTCTCGCAGCGCCGAGCCCACCCGGCGGCCTCTCCTGCGCTTCCGGGAGCCGTGGCGAGCGAGTGCGCCTGCGTGCCGGCCCATCCGCGCGTCTCGCAGCTGTCCTTGCGCCGGCCAGCGGCAGGACAGTTTCCTCGGCGCTTACCGCCTGGTTTCTGGACTCCGCGGCGCACCGGAGGGCAGCATGTCGCGGCGGCGGCACAGCGACGAGAACGACGGTGAGTACCTGCAGCCCGGCCGCGGAGGCCGCTCCCAGTTGGGAACCGAGGCTCGGCATCTTTGAGTGTCCGTGGAAGAGACTGGAAGCTCTTCTCCCCGGGAACGTGCGGGGAGCCGCGGAGGGAAAGAGGGGAATACAGTGGCGGTGTGACTGGGCGGCTTCTAGAAAGCGACTTTTTCTCTCCCGCCCTAGTTCTTTGAGTCAAGGGCCGATCCTCGGGAAAGGAGGCCTGGTGAACCCCATGGGTAGACCCTTGGTCTCTAAGGACGCTTCAGAGTTTGGTCCTTAGCACCACCGAGCAGGGAAGCACACCTGTGTCTGTGCTGCCGCCTCTTAGGGACTCACTGGTCCCAGTGTCTCGTTTTAACCTTCAAAGCTGCACCTGAGAAGGGCTCGGAAGAATTCACTGAAGGAAAGAACTGAGAGATCTCCTGAGTTGCAATCTGAACTCTGTTCCGGTAGTGGTCATCCGTTGATTTCCCTTATTTCGAGCTGCAGGGAAAGAATATTGTCTTACCCACGCCCAAGAGGTCCCTAATAAACAGACACAGGTTACTGCAGATTTTGAAGTGGCCGTAAGCGCATTTCCCTCGTGTGAGAGAGAGTGCTAGAAAACTAACTTCAGGCCTCAGAGAGTTAGAACAGGGGTTCCCATCTGCTTTTGGATGATTGTGCTCGTGGAGATCATAGTGTTGTCTTCATAAAGACGGAATAATTCTAGTTTTAACAACAAACAAATGCTTATATTATACATAAGCCTTACAATCGGTCAAAAACACAAATCCACACACCAAAAAAGTGGAACTTAGAGTAATTCTATTAACGTTTTAGTGTATTGTTTTTTGAAGAGAGTGTAGAGTAGTGGTTAAGAGGTGAGACTTTGGAACCAGAGGGTTTAGGTTCAAAGCCAAGACCCTACCATTTATTTGGTGATCTTTTCCAGGTTATGTAATCTCCTTAAACTTTAGTCTGTAATATAGACGTAATGATACTTATATCTTCTGGGTTTTGTGAAGGTTAGATGAGGTAATACACATCAGCAACGATGATGTTTTAATCATTTGCCAGCGCTTAAGAGGCGGTAAACGTTAGCAGGTGCTGTCAATGTAAGAAAAGAAACCGTAACAGACATTTTAAATTGAGTAAGTTTTATCCATTAACGTTTGTCTCTCCTTGAGTGTTGTGGCAGTTGAGGTGGAGGCAGAATCGCATGCATTTAGTTTTAATAGTGAAACACCAGATTTCTTCGAAGGCGTGGTTTGAGAGGATATTCTAGTCCAGCTTTCTCATCTGACACCTAAGGGTTTAGAGATTGAGCATAACACGGAGAGACAGCTGTCAGTTCCCAAACACCAGCAATAGCAAATCCAGTCCAGGGCTCTCTTCACTACCCAGGTATAAATTAAATAACTATGCTGCATGCTTTGATTTCTAACACAAGAGGCTTCTTGTGTAACCTGTGTGCAAGGCACAGAAAATACAATCCCCTCCCCTTTTTTTTGAGACGGAGTGTCACTCTTGTCAGGCTGGAGTGCAGTGGCGCGATCTCGGCTTACTGCAACCTCTGCCTCTCAGGCTCAAGTGATCCTCCCATCTCAACCTCCTGAGTAACTGGGACCACAGGCGCAGGCCACCACGTCCAGCTAATTTTTTTTTTTTTTTCCCTGTATTTTTTGTAGAGACGGGGTTTCGCCACGTTGCCCAGGCTGGTCTTGAACTTCTGAGCTCAGGCGATCCACCCGCCTCGGCCTCCCAAAGTGCCGGGATTACAGATGTGAGCTACTGCGCCCGCCGATAATACAGTTTTCTTATACTTTGTAATTGACTAATCAAAAACTAATATACTTCTCAAGTCATTACTTGGGGGTTGGAGAACTTGAGTGTTTTGTTCTTTCCAATTTCTTTGTTGTTCTTATGCTTTCTTTTTCTCACTTATAGGTAATCCCTAAAGAGAGAGGAAATGTCATTGTAGGGCATCCTAGGGAATTGGAATGCAAATATGTAGAAAAATAACTTTTGCTTTGGTTATTGGGAGACTTACATAACTTTCTTGGAGTTGGCTTCTTTTTAACACCAGCTTGCAGCCAAATCACTGTCCATTTGGGTCTTGCTGCAGGAACCTCAGAGTAAATAAGACAAGTAAAACAAGGCCTTCATTAAGCAAAAGTGTTTATGGTTGGTATTTTAGTATGGGAGAGGCAGATACAGTTCATGTTTGATAATACAGCAAATCTGAAATTTTTGTAAATTGCCACAATTTGGATAACGATCAGCTGGAGTTTACCCTACATAGTGATCTGAATCAGATTATTTTGAATACTTTCCTTTTAGTTAAACATCTATTTTTTAAAAAATGAGAACTCTTAAAAGCTTAAGGATTATAGAAGGCTATCTTAAAATAGGCTAGGAATTATTACAGTCAGAATTAAATACGTGCATCTGAGCATTTCTGGACAGTTGTCAGCTGTTGTCAGTCTCTGCCCTGACTTTCATATGCTTGACACTCTCTCTCTCTATATATATATAAAATACTATAATAGAATATATAATATATTTACATATTATATACATTTATATTTATAATATATATTTTACATATAATATGTAATTATAACGTGTATACTTTATATATAGAAGCAATCATATGGAAAGTAATGTATCTGAAAAATGATTTATTCAGCAAATACTTAACAGTGCCAAGCTCTGTCCTAATTACTTGCAATACAGCAGTGGACAGTATAAAGATAGAGCCCCCCCTCTAGAGTAGAGAGAAGACAGTCAAGTAAAGTGTAGTGTATCATACAGTGACAGACGCTATGGAGTGATATCAGGTAAAGCGGGTAGAGATTTCTGTGAGGGAGAAGTTACTATTTTATGTAAGTTGGTTAGAGAAGGCCTCATTGTGAATGCCATTTGATCAGAGACTTGCCGGAGGTAAGGTAGCAGCCTTATAGCTGTATGAGGAAAAGCAGTGATCCAAACAAAGGGAACCATGGACGCAAAAGCCTTAAGACTATAGGGTTCCTGTCGTGTTCATAGAACAGCAAGGAAGCCAGTGGTGCTGGAGCAGAGTGAAGGGGAAGTTGTAGGAGATAAGATTAGAGAGATAGCAGAGGGTCGCATCTTATAGGAAGATTATAAAATTAGACTTCTGTGTTGAGACTTGACTATCAAAGATTCAGGGAGGTAGGATTAGGAGGCTGTACCAATGAAGTTCACGTAGTAGTCCATTTATAAACAAGGAAAGGGAAATGCTAAATGAAAAGTAATGTGTATGGATACTAGTCCAGTGCTGAATCTTAACTAATTGCTTAGACTTGCTTTAAAAATGTCTCTGAAGCTTTTTAGTTACTATGGGATATGCAGTCCATTGTTTGTTCTTTTAAGAAAGGATTTAGATTGTTCAAAATCTTAGCCAGAAACAATACGAATACAATTTTGGGAATTTCAGCAATTTACAAAAATTTCAGATTTGCTGTATTAGCCCCATTTAAGCTTCTTAGAATTAGGTCCTTGTCTTTTAGACTGTGGCTGATTTTTTTACTTAACTAAAGAAAAAAATGAATAGAAGTGAAAGGATTTGTTATTCTGGGAGAGTATAGTTTATTTCAGAAGTGATGGTTGCCTCTGTTTTAAATCTGCAGGATCAAGGCATGTTATCTTTCTTTGAAGTTGTTCAATATCAAAATAGATGAGCCAAAAAGAAGGAAACAGTGTGCTTAAGGTTTAAAAATGTAATGTTGAAGTTGTTGGTTTTAGTTACTTTACTTTCTTATTTTACAGAGTTGGTTTTTGTTTTCCATTTTGTGGGTCTAAAATTTATTGTAAGGCTATAAGATGTACCAGTGTGCCCATATAAAATTAGGATTGCCTTATAAAGGGGAAATTTGTTTGTTTGTTAAGATCCTTTCAGATGGATTTTATACCTGCTTCTCTATACTAGCCAAGTCTGTCCAAGTGAAGTGGTAATGTTATCTTTAATTTACATTTTAAAACCTTTACATAGTTAAATTTTAATAAAAAAATCTGTTCTTGCCTTGGGAACTACCATAGATATGTTTTCTTCAGGGTACATTGAGCTAATTCCCCAAATTGTATTCATATTGTTTTATTTCATTTCCCTGTTCCCTTACCTAGGTTCTCTTCTGAGTTCAATATCATGTTTCTGTTCGTAAGTTCAGATTGTGTCTGTAGTTTTCCCCCCCTTCATATTCTCTCAACTATCAGGTGAGAGTGGAACATTTCTTACTTCTTAATACTTTCTGCCTCCTCCCATTCTCCAGACAAATCTTGTCCTTTAATATAGCCAAAATGAACAGAGGGTTTGCAGTTCAGACATGTGACTATGTACATGTATTTTCTAGTTTTTTTCCTCAGAAATCATACCTTCTCTTCTACAGCATTATTTTCCCCTTTTCAAGCTTATAAGAGGGCCTAACAGGGTTGCTTTAAAGGCTGTGGTATGATTCCAAACTGGAACAGGCCACCTGGAAAGTTAAGTTAAGAAGACTGTAGAGGTGGAATAAAGGGTTGGCAAAATATATGAGCCAGAAAGAAGGGAACAGTGTGCTTAAGGTTTAAAAAACAACAACAAAAAATAACTGCTCTCATTCAGCTAGTTTTTCAGCATCTCCATTCTCCCAGCCTCACTGAAATTTGGTTCTGAGGAGCTCTGCTTTCTAGAATATGGTTTCTTAACATCAGCACTATTGATATTCTTGGCCAGATTATTTGTTTTGGGAGATGCCCTATACAACGTGGGATATTTAGCAGCATCCCTGGCCCCTACCCACTAGATGCCAGTTGCTTCCCCTAGTTGTGACTACTAAAAATGTCTCCAAGGATTGCCAGATGACAACTGGGGGCAAAATCTACACCCTATTGAGAACTACTGCTCTAGAAGAAGGCTGTTGAATGTTATAGCTGGCGGCTCGTGTAAATATTACATCATTTGTGCTTTGTTTTTTCAATAAATGAATCCTGGAAATAAAAGACCTTTGTGTGAAAGTTGGTACTTCGGGTGATAGAACCTTGATAGGTCCTGTGACTTAGGTTTGATACATACTTAAGAATCAAGGTCCCTGAACCTCTGTGCCACACATGTCTACAACTTTACACAGGCAGATATCTCCAGGAATCAGTACATCTCAGCTCTTACGCTGCATGCATATTATACTTTTTGTGGCATTATCCCTTCAAAATTATAGTCAGTGGACATTCAGTCAGTTTATAATGGTAATTAATGGGTTGGGAAGTTGAAGCACAGAGTGTCTTATCCTGTAACCTTTGTAATACCCCCCTCAGATCCTATGTGGATAGTAATAGATTCGTTTTATTCAGCTTCAGTTCATGTGGTATCTGAAGATCATTTCAGTCATTCGATAGATTTAACATTCCAAGCTTAGAATAGCCACGTGCTGTGTTTTATGAGAATCACCATACATCATTTCAAGCCAAGTGTTCCAGAGGCAAGTAAGTGATTATGAACTTCGTAAAGATAATTCCTTTGGCCATTCAAGTCTGAAGATTGAAGTTATATATAACTTACTACTGTGTAGCCCTATATCCAGCTGCAGATTTTCATTATTAATACAGATTCTCAGCACAGTTACAAACTCTTGCTTTCTTGCCCATATGCTGACCAAATAATTGAATCAATGGAAATCGAAAATTGAATTGTATTAGACTAGCCAAAAGTGTTTAGCAGCAGCATCAGGTTCCATACTTAACACTATTACTTTAATTTTTAAAGCCTTATGTTAAATCACAAAAGGACTTAGGTGAGTGTGTTAAGGCTTTAAACAAAGTGGTAAGAGATACAAACAGCAAGTGTCTTAATAGACAGGTGTTTGAGGTTAGTTTTTAGCACAGCTTCATTCAACTTGAATTGTTTAGCAATCAAAAGGACAGATGCTTGGTAATGATTTTAGAATGGTAGATTTAAAAAACATAGAGATTATTCAAATGATATGGTTTTTAAATAAATCAGTATCAGTAATTCAGTTAATAAAAGCTAGTTAAAGCAGGAATTGTAAAACATGTGGTCCTTTTTTCCGCCAATGATTTGATATAGTGCTCAGGACTTTTCTTTGAATATGTATATACTGACTGTCGTTCCCATTATTTAGGATAAACTATACCGTCGTGCTGCATCATATGCAGAACTGAAATTGTTCATTGAAGACTTGAGATTAGAGCTTAGAAACATGTGAAGCAAGTGAGAAATCCTAATGTTTTGTCCTCCTTTTTCCCCCCTTTTGAAGCTTTTCCCTTTATAGCTGATATAACAGCTTTTTTTTTTCCGATCAAGTCTTTCCAAAGCATTCGACTTGGTTTTGCACCCTTATTTTGTCATTTACATAATAATTACATTATTAGACTAATGAATACTACTGGTACTAACAGGTTTCGGAACAAGCAACTGAGGATCAGTAAACAACTCAAGTTGAAAGAATGAGAGTAGCAGTACATGAGTATTCTAACTACTAGTGTTTAACGCGTTGTTGGCAGCTTTCCAGCTTTTCCGCAGAAATGCACAGGGCTGCTGATTGCTTAGCTCCATGGGCACTATTCACACAAAATTTAACATAAATAATGCCTCCTGGAGTTATTGTATATAGTGGCTCTGGGAATGGGAGGTGTTGGTTAATCTAGCTTAGTCTGAGAAATGGAGGGTCTGTGAAGAGCTTCTACTCTGTCAGAAAAATAGGGCCTGGTAGAAAACAGATTATAACCTAAAAAGGTTAAATAAAATTTGTGATAGCAGATTTAGCATGTAATGTTAATTTTTTATGTTGCTGAAATAGGTGGGCAGCCTCACAAAAGGAGAAAGACCTCTGATGCAAATGAAACTGAAGATCATTTGGAATCTTTAATATGCAAAGTAGGAGAAAAGGTATGTCACACAATAGGCACAGGCTGTGATGGGTTTAAGAATGTGGTTGACTGCTTTGATTAATTTTTGCAGCTGAAAACTTGAACTACATTTTGGTAAAGCTGGTATTACCATGCATCTGTATCCCAAATTGAATCCATGTTGAAGCCCCTGGGATGCAGATAATTGATTATTATTAGTAATTTAATAATTAATAATTTTCATAGAAGATGAACCTTAAAAGGGACCTAGGGTATAGCCCCTTAATTTATACATGAACTAAATCAGCCCTGAATACTTGAGGTAATTTGTCCAGAGTAACAGAGTGAATTAGTAAAAGAGGTAAAATGGAGCCCATGGTGTCCTCCCATTTCTAATGCTTACTCTGCTATCATAGACTGCTTGGTTTTTAAATTTCACTCATCGACTTTTCATGGATTTCTAAAGAACAATAACTATCTGAATTGATTTATACTAAACCCATTATAGCTCTGTATGCGTGTAAGACTATTTTAATGATCGTGTAGAAATTTTTATTTTAGTACACTAAAATAGCAAAAGGACAGATGATTGGTTATGATTTTAAAATAATTGATTTTAAAATATATATTTACATTTAAATAAATTTTTAACAATAAATTTATATTGCTGAGTACTTGACAGATATTTAATGTGATGTCCTCTACAGAGTGCCTGCTCTTTGGAGAGCAACCTCGAAGGCTTGGCTGGTGTTTTGGAAGCTGATCTTCCTAACTACAAGAGCAAGATCTTAAGGCTTCTTTGTACAGTGTATGTATGCAAAAGATTTATGAATCCAGGTGATAATGTATTATCTACTCTTAAATGCTTTGGGAAATGTTTAAAATATATGTTTATGTTCTATATGTCCTTGGCTTTCCTTCTATGGGGAAGTTTGTACAAATGAGCCAACCTTTGGCCCTTTAATGAACTCTTTTTCTTAGGGATAAAACTAAAATTGAGCATTTTCCTTGTGTGTTATTTCTTAGAACCTTAGAATCATTGTAGTTGACTTTTTATAGAGAGAGTACTGTCTCATTCAGATACATATTTTTAAGCATGTATATTTAAATGTATGATACCTAGATTTTAAAATTAGTAGTACCAAACAAATTTGGGAATTGGTAACTCAAGTAATAGCTCTTCTTGGAAGACTGAAGAGGCTTTGGAAGCCACTAGTAATAGGCATACTCTCTGGATAAACAGGAGTCTTTGTAGTTACATGAAATTGTAACATATCCATGAGGTGTTTTTAAATTATGAAGGTGACGTTTATCACTTCTCAGCATTTTAGTTTAGATCAAGTGAAGGTAACTTTAAGAAACTACTAAGGAAATCTTCTGAAATCCTTTATTAAAATGGGGTAGTATTTATACTTAAACTGTTGGAAACCTTGTTTGTTTAAGGCTGAACTTGTATTGCTTCACAGTATTCTTCTTTAATTTTTGGTTTTGGTAGAGTTTCAGGGAGTACAGTTACCATCAACACAGGTATTTTTTTGAAGACCTTAATTGTCCCTGATGTTCTGCTAGATACTTTAGGAAAACAAGTCAAAGAGAATCTCTTGCCCACTGAATGATTATGAGTTCTTATTTGCTTTTTGAGCTAATTCTAAAGGCTGCCTAAATTAGGAAAAATTGCTTTTTCTAAAGGTTTATTGTAATCCTTTCCCATACTTTTCAAATAACTTTAACAAAATCAACATACTTGGAGTAAGCAAATCTTAACTATATCAGACTACGTTTTAAAAAAATTCAATAATTAAGCTGGTAGGAACTTAGATGAAACTTGTTTTAATTGTGCATCTTTTCTAAGCAACTAGAATAGTGTTTCTCAAAGTAGAATTCTACTTCCATGACATTTGGTTAGCTAAGTTTAGAAATTCTGAATGCCGCACCCCCCTTAATGATTCTGTATTAAAGAGGCTTGTTTCACCCAGGATTTCTGAGACATTTTACCATGGAAACCATGTTCTGTGGAAATGCTATTCAGTTCCACTAAACACACTTGAAGAAAAACTGTTGTAGCATTACTTTTATTTATTTCAGTAAGATAACTTTACAATTAAATCATTTACTTTCTTAACTCTTGGATTAATTAATGAATTAAAATGAAAAATTACGGGACTGTGTTTGTAACATTTCTCAGTGACATGCTTTTTCTGGAGTATTTTTAAAGACATAGCTAAAAGTAATCCTGTTCCAAAGTTAATGGAATGATAAAAAGACTCATATAAAATTCAACAACTTAACCCTATTGTTTTGGGGTTTTCTCGTTATACTGGGTTCTTAAATCAGTGCACGTCTGTTACCTGAGAAGTTGACAATTTATACAACATTAGTTGGACTGCTGAATGCCAGGAATTACAACTTTGGTGGAGAATTTGTAGAAGCCATGATTCGTCAACTTAAAGAGTCATTGAAAGCAAACAATTATAATGAAGCCGTATATTTGGTAAGTTTGTTTGTTTGTTGGTATGTTATGACTTACTGTTGGGATGGAGGGAAAAGGTGAGCTACAACCAAATAATTTAAAATGCTCCCCTGAAGCATTCTCATTCACTTTGATAGCTTCATAGGCCACCTTTATTTTGATGACACCCCCAAATCTGTAACTGTGTCTCCATCCTTTCTCCTGAGCTCCAGTCCAGTATTCCCGATGCTAGCTGCATAGCCTTCAGATATCTTACCAGGAAGTGCCTAAATTAATGTAGCATTCATACCTCCTTTTTTCTGCCCTTTCCCCAGCTCATACAGTGGCCACTGTGTACTGAATAGCCCATCTATAAAGCTGAGCTTTAATTTTTGTCTTCCCTTTGCCTTCTTGTACCATAGGTGTTCCCAATCCCTGTCAATTCTGTCTCCCTGATTTCTCTCAAGTCTGTCCTTTCTTGGTCTCCAGGGCCTCTAGCATAGTTTATGCCTTCCTCCAGATGTTCTTAATAGCCTCTTAACTGATCTTTTTGTATCTAGATTCTGTTTTTCACTTTGTGTTCTACAGTGGCACCAGACTGGTCTTTCTGTAACTGGGCTCTGCACATGTTGGTTACTGGTTAAAAAACCCTTAGTTCCTTCCCATGGCAGTGTGAGTGGTCTTAAAAGCCTGGTGCACAAGATGATTCCTTGGGTTGCAGAAAGTGAATATTGAGAACTCTTATTTATCTTAAGTGGAAATGAAATTAAGCCTTACTAATAATACATAGATTAATGGTGATCCAGTGTATTTCATAAATAAATATGTATGTGTTGAAGATATGTGATCAAATTCTTTTTTACTGAGTACACAATCGAAAAAGTTTGGGTACCGATCAGGCTATAGGATTAAAGTCCAGACTCTTTAGGCTGACCCTTTATGGTTTCCCCAGTGTGTTTCTCTATTCTTGTCTCCCATACACTCTCCAGCAATATCAAAATAACTTGCAGATCCGAAAACACACCTTGTTTTTGAAGCTGTATGCCTATACTGCCCTCATTGCTCACTACTTGAGACTGTTGCTTATCCTTTATGACCTAGCCTAATTGTTACCTCCTTTGTGATGCTTTCCCCAACTCCCTTTGTCATTGTTCCCCAAAACACTTAATTTGCCTTTTAGTGTGGGAGTCACTCATTTGTATTGAGATTGTGCTTGTTCCACTAGAATGGGTCCCTTAACAGTTGACTTTTAGTAGTGTTTAGCAATAGCACACTGAGCACACCCAGTAAATGTGTTCTGTAATTTCCATTTCTGTAATTCAGTAAAAATTACAGTCAAACAGAAAAGAAGCTTATAGGTTGAAGTAGCTAGAATATTTTACAATCTGGATTGTTGATGTAGTATAGCATAGAAACCTATGAACTCACAGATTGCTGTCCTTTATATAGTTTTTGTTACAACTTCTCAATTCTGCCATGGTAGCACAAAAGCAACCATACACAATATGTAACTGAACGAGGATGGCTGCTGCAATAAAAGTTTACTTATGGACACTGAAACTAGAATTTCATGTAATTTGTATGTGTCATAAAATACTCTTGTTTTTTTTTTTTTTCAAGCATTTAAAAATGTAAAAACCATTCTTAGTTCCCAGCTATGCAAAAAACAGGTAGTAGGCTAGATCCAGCCCTTAGGCTATAGTTTTTCAGCCCAATAGTTTAGGCTGTAGAAGATTGCTTGTTTTGTAGTTATTATGAAGAACATTTAGATTTAATAGCAGAAATTGTTTGCCCCAACAGGTCCGTTTTTTATCTGATCTTGTGAATTGCCATGTGATTGCTGCTCCGTCAATGGTTGCCATGTTTGAAAATTTTGTAAGCGTAACTCAGGAAGAAGATGTGCCTCAGGTAAGAGAACCCCTCACGCTGAATCTTGAGGGGTTCTTGAGGGGTTACTGAATCCTGGTACTTCCATATAGTACCAGAAATCTTTCGCTGATAATCCATTAGCAATAAAGAAAAAACAGCAGACTATCACACTGTAAGTTCTTACTATCTAAAAATTAAGTTGACTGGCACACTGGTGGGTTCTCATAATATCTGTATGTTGATTTAAATGATGCTGTCCAGTAAGATTAGAACTAATATATCTGGAAATGCTCTGTATAAACCAGATGTCTTAAGTCCTATTAAATAGCTTCCATAGGATTTCATTCAAGAATAAATAAAATATGAATGAATATAATTAAAGCATATTTTAAACTTAACTTTTTAAAAATCCTTTAGGTGCGGCGAGATTGGTATGTGTATGCATTTCTGTCATCTTTGCCCTGGGTTGGAAAGGAGTTGTACGAAAAGAAAGATGCAGAGATGGACCGCATCTTTGCCAACACTGAAAGCTATCTTAAGTAAGGGCACAGCTCATAGTACTCTTTGTTGCTTAGGTAAAGGATATCTTATATCAGTGATATCATTTGAGTTTCTCAAAAATAAGCTGTAGAGTTCCTGAAGGTATTTTCTAGGTAATCCTGTTCTCCTGCTGTTTTAACTCACCGAGACCTCAAAGTAGTCAGATATGGTTTGCTTGCTTTTGCCAGTGCACAGGACAGTTGGTAATATAGCTTCTTTTAAGCTGCTTTTATATGTTTATAAAAGACATAAAACACCCTAGTGCAATAGTTCCTCAAATATTAGCGTGGATAAGAATTACCTGTGGTACTTAAAATGCTCACACCCCAACCCCCAGACCTAATAAATTATACAATTTGAGAGAGAGGTTTGGACATCTGTATTATTAACACATTTCACAAGTGGAGAACCACTGCCCTAGCACATACAATGTGTTTATTTCATGTAAATTAATCCTAAATCAAGCTCTTAAAACAGTGGTCCTTAACCTTCCATCCAGGCAGTACTTCTTAAGTAGTATGACACATTTCAATTAAAATAGTCACATGTCTTCCCATTACCCATCTCTCCCAAGCCGATGTAAAAGCTTGGTTTAGATTGTTAGATACAATGATAATAAATAGGTCTTTTTAGTAAATTTATGCTTAACTATCCAGCAACATGGTAATGGTTATGTGGCCCTTAAGTTTTTACAGATTGATTTTATTGTTAAATTTCACTTTCTCTTTTTTAAGTACTTTTTTGGATAACTGTTAATAGCTACTTAGTTGATTATTAAGTAAAGTTAAAAGAAGCTTAAAAAATAAGAATCTTTTGGCCGGGTGCAGTGGCTCATGCCTGTAATCCCAGCACTTTGGGAGGCCGAGGCGGGTGGATCACCTGAGGTCAGGAGTTCGAGACCAGCCTGTCCAACATGGTGAAAACCCATCTCTACTAAAAATACAAAAATTAGCCAAGCGTAGTGGAGGGTGCCTGTAATCCCAGCTGCTCGAGAGGCTGAGGTAGGAGAATTGCTTGAACCCAGGAGACGGAGTTTACAGCGAGCTGACATGGTGCCGCCACTGCACTCCAGCCTGGGCGACAGAGTGAGACTCTGTCTCAAAAAAAAAGAATCTTTTGTGTGTGTATACATATCCTTTCTCTTTTTTATTCAAGTGATAGCCCAATATACACACTGTTCTTCACTTGGCTTTTTTCTTTTTCTTACTATAACTTGGATTTGTTGCATAAAAATACTTCATAAATCTTTTTAATAGTCGTAGGGTATTTCACTTTTTAATGTACCATAATTTCTGTAGTCTCCTGTTGGTGGACATTTAGGTTATTTTCAATCTTTTGCTATTATAAACAATGTTTCAGTGAATATCTTTGTATGTCTTTGTGTACACGTGCAGATATATTTACGGGGGATACAAATTTTTAGAAATGGCATTACTGGGTTGAAGGTTCTAAACAGTTTTAATTTTGATAGATTTAGTCAAATTACCTTTCAAAGAGATTATACTCTCCCAAAGAGATTATACCAGTTAACCTCTTTGTCAACGATGTTTGAGACTGAATCTCGACCTGCGTCTTGATGATACACAGTACATTATCAAAACTGTTGATATCTGCCGCTCCAGTAGGTAAAATGTTATTTCATTGCTTTAATTTGCATTCTAATAACTATGAAGGTGACTGAGCATCTCATGTTTGTAAAAGCCTAAATGTAGATTTTCATTTTTATCTTTAGAAGACGCCAAAAGACTCATGTACCCATGTTACAGGTGTGGACTGCGGATAAACCACATCCGCAAGAAGAGGTAAATTGATATCAATCTCTTGTGATACAAGCTCAGTCAGCTCTTGAATAGATTCTTATCTCTGTAAGATACTCAGACCATTCCATTTTACCCCTTGGCTATGTTTCTGCATTTCATGATAGCTCCTTTTCATAGCTCTAGGTGTACGGTAGATTTTTAATAGATGATAGAATGTAATTGAAATATTCCCTTGTTCTTTGGGATGCCAGCTATTACAGAGTTGACGTATATTTATGTAAATGCTCAATTTGAAAAATGTAAAAACAAGCAGTTCCAAACAGATAGACTTTATAAGTAAAATAAAAACAAAAACTTAGCACCTTTTTTTGTAACGTCTTACAAGTTAGCTTACTTTTGTATCCTGTATTTTAAAGGGTAGTGATATTTTTATTTTGTCTAGTCAAAATGTTAATTATATTAATGATTAAAAATTAATCTGTCTTTAGTATTTAGATTGCCTGTGGGCCCAGATTCAGAAATTGAAAAAGGATCGCTGGCAGGAACGGCACATCCTAAGACCTTATCTTGCCTTTGACAGCATCCTGTGTGAAGCACTGCAGCACAATCTGCCTCCTTTTACACCACCTCCTCACACTGAAGATTCGGTGTACCCAATGCCAAGGGTCATCTTCAGAATGTTTGATTACACAGATGATCCCGAGGTAGGTGACCGACTAAAAGTCCTAGATACGACCTGTGTTGCATTGTGCTTGTGGGTTAATCCCGCTCGAATTATGCCTGTGGTGTGTTTTAATTTTGAGTTGTTTTTTGTCTAAGAAGGTCAATAGCAATGAAGTTAACTTTTTAATTCAGTGAATGATACCACCTCATTATGCAAGAAATTACATTTGGCATGTGTAAATAGATTAGAGAGACATGCACAGTTTGCAGGCTAAGAGTGTGGGTTTTGGGTTTTGAGAGCTACATTGGGTTGTGTTTTAATCTTGGTTTAGCCAAATACTAGCTGTGTGAATTTGGGAAAGTTTACCTCCCTGTGCTTTCGTTTTCTGAAGGTAATAATAATAGTATATATATCATGCTATGAGGATTAAATTATTATTAACATGTAAAATGCATAGAACAAGAACAGTGTCTGTCACATGATGAATGCTCAGTCATTCTGGCCATTTTTCTTTCTTTTTTTTTCTTCTTTTCGAAATGGGGTCTCACTCTGTTGCCCAGGCTGGAGGGCAAAGGTGAGATCTAAGCTCACTGCAACCTCTGCGTCCTGTGCTCAAGTGATCCTCCCACTTCAGCCTCCTGAGTAGCTGGGACCACAGGCATGTGTCACCTAGCCTGGCAAATTTTTTGTATAGTTGGGGTTTCACCATGTTGCCCTGGCTGGTCTCGAACTCCTGGGCTCAAGCAATTCGCCCACCTCATTTTCCCAAAGTGCTGGGCTTACAGGCATGAGCCACTGCACTTGGCCATAATTATACTTAATAAGGTTATTTCTCAAGAAAAGCACCTAGTTTTAGATATGGTCCCTCTTTCTTTAGGCAACACAGCCTGTCTTGTGATTATTCATATTGTATGATTATTTGAAAACAAATATTTAAAGTATTTTTAATTTAAAAATTCCAAAGATTAGTCTAAGCTGACTTTATCGTTTTTAATATACATATTCTTTATTTCAAAGTCAAGTTTCCTGGCAGCCATTGTACTATTAAAATTGTATATTGTACAATTAAGAAAACTTACAATTTTCATTGTGGGTGCTATCCTGTGTATTGTAAGATGCTCAGTGGTATCCCTGACCTCTACCATCTAAATGCCAATAACAGTCTCCCTGCCTCAGTTTTGACAACCAAAAATATCTCCAGAGAGTGCAATAGGTCCCCATGAGGGCAAAATTACCGCCAGTTGAAAACTATTGCCATAAAAATTAATATTACCACCTAAAGTCAAATTTGAGTTTCTTTCTCCTATTGTCTCTTTTCTATCCTGTGGTAAAGTGCTTATGACCAGTAGGAATTTAGTATATATTTAATCTATTTCGGAATAAAAATTTGTCAGTCAGTTACATATACAAAATTATCAGCTGCCCTCTTTGCTATATTCCATAAGTAACCAAATACTTTAGTCAAAATTTTATAGTGATCTACTTAGATATATTTAACTGAAAATCTGGTTTACATTTAAGACTGCTCATGTTTGTGATCAGATATTTTGTGTGTGTGTGTGCAAGGGAAACTAGAATGGGACCTCAAAATTTTTTTCTCCTGTATTTATATTTAATTGGTATCACCTCTGTAAGGTGCATGTCCATCCCTTGCTAGAAGAGTATAAATATATAAAATACTTGTTACTCTCAAAACGAACAGGATTTTGTTTTTGTTCTGGCCTTTTACAAGTTATTTATTAAAAAACATTAGAAATTGTAAAAAAAAAAAAAAAAAAAGATTAAAATCATCCAAAAGTCATTATTAAAGGTCTATTTTGTGTTTTTTGAACCTGTTTGCTGTGAATATACTTAAGAATGAAATAATGCCATGTCGGGAATATGTTTTAAGCTTAGACGATATATTATGGGTATCTTTCAATTCATGCATGATGTTTTATGGGTATGTGGTATTTGAATAGAATTTTCTGTCTCCATAGTTACTAATGGAAATAATTCACTCTCTTGGTTTAAAAAATAAACTCTGTAAGGCTTGTATTATCCAAAGTTATTTAGTTTCGTATAATAATTGGTGTGTAAAGTAGGCAGTGGTTGTATGGTTAGGTATGAGATGTAGTAGAAGAAACACTACAGCTGATACTCTGGGATATAAGTGAACATGGCAATGGAATTTACTGAAATATAGAGCTTTAACACTTCAGAACTTTTATCCCCACCACCCAGTATAGTGCCTGGAACATAATAGTCTCTCCAATATTTGTTGAATAAGTGAAAGAAATCTGTGTTCTAGGCCTGTAGTGTGCACATTTGGTTTTCTTTCCAGGGTCCTGTCATGCCAGGGAGTCATTCAGTGGAAAGATTTGTAATAGAAGAGAATCTTCACTGCATCATTAAGTCCCACTGGAAGGAAAGGAAGACTTGGTAAGATTCTTTCCATAGTACTCTTAGAAGGGAGAGAAAGCAGCAATTTTGATGATTCAGTAAGAGCAAAATGTATGTTGAGAGTGTAAGAAAATTTTATCCTCCTGACTCCCTGTCTCGCTAAAATCAATTTCTAAAAACACTTGCATTACTTTCTTGAGGCTCTTCACCCTTATATAGTACTTTTCAAGGTGCTTTATCGTAATAAGCCTATGATGCCAGTCTTTTTGGTGTGGATATTTAGCATATGCTATGGAGAGCTTGAATGGCAAGTTATTTTGAGTTTGGATATGAGTGGTTTTGCTCTGTTTTCAAAACACCCAAACTTTGGAGGTTTTTTTTTAAATAAAATTTTCTTAAACTTTGGAAAGTTTGGTTTAGATTTTAAAGTGGAAATGAGTATAGTATTTTGAGAGTGATCTACTCTATTAAAACTTCTTTAGGTTAGTACATCTGAATGTGCTTCCTTAGTATTATTACCTAGACTCCTTTTGATCTTTCAAGAAATTTTGGATGCATTAAAGATTTTCCTTGTGGTAGACAGAATAATTTATGCCATAGTTAAATGAAGTAACTGAAATCTAGGACATTTCAAAGAAGATTTTTCTCTGCTTATATCTAAACACATTGCTTTTGAAACTGCTTATTTGACTTTTCATGTGTCTTCGTATACTTATTAAACTTAAATTACACTTTTTATAGTGCTGCACAGTTAGTGAGCTATCCAGGGAAGAACAAGATCCCCTTGAACTACCACATAGTTGAGGTATGCATTCCATGTGGAGCGTGTTTCTGAATTTCAGAATGTTTCTGTTGCCTTTGAAGTATAATCTACTCTTGGCTTATTTATTTATTTATTTATTTATTGCCACTTGTCTGGCATTCAAAATTAACAGAGAAACGAGGAAATTGCTGTTAGTTTTGGTGCTCTATTAGCCATGTTAGGAAAGAGAAAAAAGGAGATTGAAACCAGTAGCCAAATGGAATTTTGAGTTGCCTATAAGCTATTTATATAGTATGTCTTCATTCATGGATCGTTGTTGTGGATAATGTAAGTTACCTCTAGCTCTGTTAATACATTGTCTACTTAACAGACGTATAAGTGGTTTAAATACTTTAAAATACCATTTTAGATAAATAACGTATCTTTAGTTGTGTTTATCTGGCTTCTCAGTACTAGCATAAACTTGGTTAGTGTATTATTTCCTGTAATACCAAGTATAGATGAATCATCATTTTTATAGTTAGAAATCTAAAGAGCCAAGCAGTTTAGAAATAGAGTAGCAACACTTTTGACTTCATATTAACTCATACAAAAGGTTGAAAGGTTGATGTTAGTATACAGTTGAATACATTATAGAGATGTATATCAAAAAAAAGTGTTCATTTGACATGTGAGTCAAACTGTTAACTGCATTTTTTTTTTTTTTTTTTGAGACGGGGTCTTGCTCTGTTGCCCAGGCTGGAGTGCAGTGGTGTGATCTTGGCTCACTACAGCCTCTGCTGCCTGGATTCAAGCGATTCTTCTGCCTCAGCCTCCCGAGTAGCTGGGACTACAGGTGCACACCACCACGCCCGGCTAATTTTTGTATTTTTAGTAGAGACAGGGTTTCACCATATTGGCCAGGCTGGTCTTGAACTCCTGACCTTGTGATCTGCCCGCCTTGGGCTCCCAAGGTGCTGGTATTACAGGCGTGAGCCACTGTGCCCATCCCACTGCATTATTTCTTTATATTAAAGTATTCATGGACCAGGCTCAGTGGCTTATACCTGTATTTCCAGCAATTTGGGGGGCTAAGGCAGGCTGATAGCTTGAGCTCAGGAGTTTGAGACCAGCCTGGGCAACATGGCAAAATCCTGTCTTCACTAAAAATACAGAAAAAAAAAAAAAGAGCTAGCTATGGTGGCATGCACCTGTAGTCCCAGCTACTTGGGAGGTTGATGTGGGAGGATCACTTGAGCCTAGGAGGTCAAGGCTGCAGTGAGCTGAAATTGTGCCTCTGCACTCCAGCCTGGGTGACAGAGCGAGACTCTGTCTCAAAAAAAAAAAAGTAATTCCATTTTCATTATGAATGCCATGGAGTTAGAGCTCAGATTTAGAATGTTAAGGTCTTTCTAATAGAAGTGCAAAGATAGCAGTTGAATTGAATTATGACTCATGATACTTTTGTAGGTGATCTTTGCAGAGCTGTTTCAACTTCCAGCACCCCCTCACATTGATGTGATGTACACAACACTCCTCATTGAACTGTGCAAACTTCAACCTGGCTCTCTACCCCAAGTTGTATCCTTTCCTTTGTTTTTAAACTTAATCTCTTTGGCCAGGTCTTAAAAGATTATTAAATATTTCTGCTTGTGGGTTTAAATTTTGTAGGTAAAAAATGTGGCTTTTGAAGTGTGTTGTGTGTGTGTGTATTACATGTATGTATTTTTATGTCTGTAAATACATATGTACCTATAAATATGTAGATACATGCTTCACTGTTTGGGTCAGAAAGTTCAAAAATAGACAACAATGAAATTTGTTGCCTAGATTGACTTTTTCTCTCACAAAAGATTTCTCTGAAGCATGTGATGCTTGCTGTTTGATACAGCATTTTTCCCACAGTAGAACTACTTTCAGAGTTGGAATTAATCTTCTCAAACCCTGCCACTGATTTATTAGCTAGGTTTCTATGATATTCTAAATCCTTTGTTGTCATTCAGCAATGTTCCAAGGAGTGGATTCCATCTCAAAAAACCACTGTCTTTGCTCATCCATTGAAAGCAGCTTTTTATTTTTTAAAGTTTTATTATGGGATTGCAGCAATTAATAATAATGGAAAAACTTGCTTTATTGTAAGAATTACCAGTATGTGACACAGACATGAAGCAAGCATATGCCATTGGAAAAATGGTGCCAGTAGACTTGCTCGTTGCAGGGTTGCCACAAACCTTGTTTGTTTAAAAAAAAAAAAAAAATGCAATTTCTGCTAAGCACAATGAAACAATGTATGCCTGTGCGTATGGAGGAGCATGGGGAAATTTGGGATCCGATGAAAATATTATCTTGATTTCACGAGTGTGTAGAGGTCAGATTAATTATACATCACTGATATTTCAAAGCGGTAAAAAAAATCAAAAACAAGATCGATTGTATGAAAAGATGTTCAACTTTCTTTATGTTCAATATTCTTTATTATTAATCATTATAAAGACTTGAAATGTTTTATTTCTATTCTTGTCTATTACAACTTATTTGGGGTAGAAGTGGAGAATAGTTTTCCTTATCCTAAATTCACAGCTTGCACAGGCAACTGAAATGCTATACATGCGTTTGGACACAATGAACACTACCTGTGTAGACAGGTACAGTAATTGCTTTACTGCTGAGCTGAGTTAGCAGCTTTTACTTCCTGTACTTCATAAAGGAATTTGATAAAGACATTTTTAAGAATTTCCATGTTTAGTTTTTTTCTTGCCTCCCAAAATAACCTTTGTACAATAACCGGACTCATACTTGTTTAATGTAACATTACGTTTTTTGATGTCCATGCTATGGTTTTCTTTAATTTCATTCTCTAGTCGAGTATCAAAGACTATACTTTGGCTCTGCCATTTATAAAATGTTCTATCTGCAATTTCTTTTTTTTATTTGAGATAGGGGCTTGCTCTGTCAGTCACCCAGGCTGGAGTGCAGTGGGATGAGCATAACTCATTATAACCTTGAACTTGTGGGCTCAAAGCAATCCGCCTGCCTTAGCCTCCATCCTTGGTAGCTGGGATTACAGGCATGAGCCACTGTACCTGGCCTACAATTTCATCTTTTTTTTTTCTTCAGTTTCATCATCGTTTATATGAGGAAAATAATACGTACCTTGAAAGTTGTGAGAATTAAATAATAAACACGTTAGGTGCCCACACAAAACAGATACTAGAATTTTATCTGTCATTGTCCTAAAAAGGATAAAGACAGTTTGCAGAAGATACAGCTGCATGTAGGGGAATATGCTTTTCATTAACTCTGTAAAATCGGGTTTTATCTGTTTGAAGGCTTATATAAGTTTCTGTTCTAAATCCCAGCCATTCTTCCTTTTTCTCTCCCCACCACCCCTTCTCTACATAGGTTTATCAATTGGTTTTCTCATCATCTGAGTAACTTCCAGTTCCGTTGGAGCTGGGAAGATTGGTAAGTGATGGTGTGTTTTATCCTACTTTTCTGTAGTCAAAAAACTGCTAATTTTTAAAACTGTAACATAAAAGTGACTGAAATATTTAATTTCTTGGAAACTATTTGTAGTTAAGTACAAATAGTTACAAGTGCAATTGTAACTTAAAACTTGTAAGTTGTTATAAGTTCACAGATAATTATAGTACAAATGAGTGTAAGTGCAGATGATACATAAGAATTGATAAAACTACATTTCCTCCTTAGGTCAGATTGTCTTAGTCAAGATCCTGAAAGTCCCAAACCAAAGTTTGTAAGAGAAGTTCTAGAAAAATGTATGAGGTAAGTTTTTTTGTGTCTTCTCCTTTGTTTAGGTCTTTTAACTTCTTTGGGAGGATTTCTTTCTCTTCTCTGCACTTGTGATATGTGTTCAGAATATTGGATTCAAAATCTACTTACTCATCTTCCATCCCATTTTTAATCAAGATTTAGGCTAAAAAAATTAGGCAACCGTGCCATACAGATCCCATGTGAATTTAAGCTGGTAAGTTCTTTTAAAGATGTTACAGGCTGGGCGCAGTGGCTCACCCCCTAATCCAGCACTTTGGGAGGCCAAGGCGGGTGGATCGCATGATGTCGGAGTTCAGACCAGCATGGCCAACATGAGGAAACCCTGTCTCTACTAAAAATATAAAAATTAGGCGTGGTGGCACACACCTGTAATCCCAGCTACTCGGGAGGCTGAGGCAGGAGAATCGCTTGAGCCAAGATTGCGCCTTTGCACTGCAGCCTGGCCGACAGAGTGATACTCTCATCTCAAAAAAATAAAATTAAAAAAAAAAGGATGTTATATATGAAATGAATTCAGATTTATAGAAAAGTTGGCACAACAGTACCAAGAATTCTGTATCCTGTTCACCTAGATTCCGTAGCTATTAACATTTTATCATGTTTGCTCTCATGCTCACTCCCTTTTCCTCTCTCTCTAGAGACCCGTTATGTTGGTTTTCCTTTGAGAATCAGCTGCATACCCAGCTGATGTAACAGCCCATTATCCTTTAATGTTCCATTACATATCTTCCCAAAACAAAACCACTCTCCTACCTAGCAAGCATACAGCCTTCTAGATCAGGAAATTAGCTCTGGTGCAATCCTACCACATAATTCACAGGTGCTGCTGAAATTTTGCCAACCATCCCAACGTCTGTATTTCCTGTCTAGTCTATAATTTTTTTTTTTTTTTTTTTTTGGAGACAGAGTCTCACTCTGTCACCCAGGCTGGAGTGCAGTGGCGCGCGATCTCCACTCACTGCAAGCTCCGCCTCCCATGTTCACGCCGTTCTCCTGCCTCAGCCTCCCAAGTAGCTGGGACTAAAGGCGCCCGCCACCATGCCTGGTTAATTTTTTGTAGTTTTAGTAGAGATGGAGTTTCACCGTGTTAGCCAGGATGGTCTCAATCTCCTGACCTCGTGATCCACCTGCCTGAGCCTCCCAAAGTGCTGGGATTACAGGTGTGAGCCACTGCGCCCGGCCTGGTCTGGAATCTTATCCAGGTATATGCGTAGTGTTGAGTTGTCATTCTCTCAGATTCCTTCAGTCTTGAACACTTATTATTTTTCTCTCTTTGTGTTTATACCAGTTTGAAAAAGTCTAGACCTTATTTGGATTGCTCTGATATTTCTCATGAGCAAATTGAGGTCTTAAATTGTTAATGCTCTTGGTGTGTCACATCTAGAGGCACATGATTCCCACCCCGGTGATGTTAATCTTGATCCACCTGGTCATGTCAATATCTTGCCAGCTTTCTCTACCTTAACCTCACCATTTTTCTCTTTAGTAGAATTGATCAGTATTTTGTGGGAGATATTCTGAAGTTTTACTCTTACTCTGTTCTTCATCAGATCTCCATCCTGCTTTTAGCAGCTACCAGTAAGATGGTTGCCAAGTGATGATTTTTTCATTCCATTATTTTTTCTGCATTTATTAATGGGCCTTCTGTAAGAGCTGTCCTTTCTCCCCCATTTATTTATTCCTTTATTTATATATCAGTGGGGACTAATTAATTTATATTTCATTCGCTGGGTTATAAACTGTGAGGATCATTTATTTTGATGCCCAAATTGTCCCTGATATGTACATGAGGAGTCCTGGTAAGCTCTCTGTTTTTTTTTTAAGTCTTTGTTTTTAATGTCCCCCGCCATTCATTGAGCATTTCCTTATTTTCTAGAACAACATGTTTAGGATCATCTTGCGTATTTCTCCTAAATACCATATTCCATTAGTAAAGGACTAATTAGTAAAGGACTAATGGAATACGGTATTTAGGAGCCAAGATCTGGGCACTTGATATGCTCATTGCCATTGGGGTGTCATTGGTTCTAAGCCTCTTGGTGGACACACATCCGTCCATCCATAACTATTTTTATGTCCACCTGTGTGTATATATGCCTCAATTTCCAACTCAATACCTTATTTCTACACTTCTCTACCATGGTTTGTAAATACCTTCTCAGGCAGTAAGAAACTTGGCTCCCATTATCCTCAATATTTATTTATTTGATACAATGTAGCCAGTCTCCAAAGTGTACAGACTGTCATCTTCACCACACCCCATCATCACCCCACATCCTTGGCCACCAGGCTCATGAGCTCACTCGCCCATACCTCAGTTGCAAGCCAGTAAGTTCCGCAGTATGCCTGAGATTTGGTGTGCTGCCTTAGACAAAAACTCAAAGGAATTTTTTTTCCTTTCACTCTTGGTTGTCAGCTGAGTTCAAGTTGTTGGAGATTGTGACTTTCTAGGTAAGTTGGGTGTTACCGAAGAATGGGACTGATAAAAGATATTTTCTGAGGCTGTTATTTGTATTGTAGGTTGTCTTACCATCAGCGTATATTAGATATTGTTCCTCCTACCTTCTCAGCTCTATGTCCTGCAAACCCAACCTGCATTTACAAGTATGGAGATGAAAGTAGCAGTAAGTAATGAAACAAATCCCTCTGTCTTTAAAAGGTACCAGTTCAAATATATTTAAATTAGTTGTTTAAAGTGGAGAAATTGAACTTTTTCTTTTCTTGGGGTTTATATTTCCTGTATTCGAAGGGTAGTCTAGCATTAGCCACTGTTTTATTTGCCCTGTCATCATTTTGAGGATTTGGTTGTGATAAAATTAATTACTACTGGCTTATCTTTTCTTTCTCTTTTGAATGTGTTAAGTATAGCAAGATGAATTTATAGTTAGAACTTACTAAACTGCAAATGCGTATTTGTCATGGTGATGGAGATTACTTGAATTAATTATCTTTTTCAGGTGTGGTATTGAGAACATAGATGTACATATTCTGTGGCAGTATGCCTTTAAAAGTAAATTCTTAATTATTATTTTCTTACCTTTTGGTCACATAATCTCTGAAATTGCACCATAAATCAGGGAGTGTAATTTGATGTGCCATTTTGCCCTTTGCACAGTATTTACACTTAATGTAGGTAGAGTATTATACATTGTTGATCACTGGTGGAGTTAGGTGTGGAGTTTTTTCCAACTTATCCTTTGCAGATTACACTTAACACAGCCCCCTCCATGATCCTTCCATTTCATGTTGTGTAGAGGTTCTTTGCATCTCACAACTATCTGCTGTTCCTTGCTTTTCATACCGTACGCCTGTTTCTCCACCTCTGTCTCTGACTGTACCTGTTTCCTTTGAAATAAACTGTGTTGGTCCTGGTACATTTCCTATTTCATTATGTCAACTCTGAAAAACAGATATGATTATCAAAACTACAATGAGGAAATGGCTTCCAAGAGGTCAAACTAGAATGAGGTTGCTTCTGAGTGGTGGAGCCCAAATTCAGGCGTAGGTACACTGCTGAGTGGCCATGCTCTTAGCCACTGTGCTTTTTGGCAGATCAAAGGTTCATGCAGCACTTAGAAGTGCCAGGTTTTGAGTTTTGTCTTGTACTCGTTCCGAGAATGATAAAGTACAGTGTTTGCTGTCAGAAAGCTCAGACTTTTGTTGAAGATTAAGCTTTCTTTTTTCCCCATAGGAATAACTCAGCCTAACATTTCAAGGCCTTCATAACCATTGTTCCTACTTTGTTATTTTTCACTTCTCCCGACATGGGCCTCTACTTCTCCCAGGTCCATGTCCTTTTTTATTTTTTCCATACCGTTTGTTCTTGGCTTTGCTATTACCCCAGTCTGGAAAGCCCTTTCTAGCTCCACTTGCTTTTCTCCTTCTAGATTCTAGCCCAAGCTCAATAGCTGTAAATACTTTTTAACCTTTAGTAAGCCAGTTTTGTATTGCTCCCTAGCTGTGTCTAATATGAATATCTTGGTTCTCCAGCTGGATTGTAGACTGGTGACAGGGGATTCTGTTTTTCTTCGCCTTCTTTCTTTTAGAGAAAAAGCTCACAGCAGGTGTAATATGACCGTCCTCACGTGACTGTTGTAATTTACTTCATTCATTCCAGTAACTCGTACTCTATGACAGGATTGCCTTTTTTGTTACCTCTTTGTCTACCTTACATTAAAAGCAGATTTCTTGTTGCTCTGGTGATGCCTTACGGTGTATATTAGCACAAATTTTTATAATAAGGACTTAACTGATACCAATAGTAAATACAAGGAGTCCTATCACATGAGCGTCTGACTTACATAGATTCAAGCTTGTGGATTCAGCAAAAAAAGAAAAGTACAAAAACAAAAACCTCTCTAAACTTGGCAGCCATTACCTTGTTGAGGCTCAGACTTTGTTTCCATGGTCCCAAGGAAAGAAAGAGGAAATGGGTGTTGGCAAAATGAAAGAGAAGTACGTTGGTTCTGGGCTTTTGAGCCCGGAAGAGTTGAGGGCATTAAAAGACAGTTTAACTGTGTCCACTCTTCTCCTTACCATTCATCTTGAGGATGATCAGCACCTTGTACTCTAAATTTTACTTAGCTAAGTGTCCTTAAGGAATTGTTGAAATGAGAATTGTCCCTTTTTAGGTGAAAAACCATTAACCTATTAGAAAAAGCTTCCACATGTGGTACTTTTATACAGATTAAATATTGACCTTGGGATAAAGAGCATCCTATTTTGAAAGGAAGAATTTAAAAAATTTTTTTCTCAGTTATTTAACTATTCGTTAGAATAGTCTTGAAACCTGATCTGTCATTCCCCTTACCCCCAATTCTGTGTTTAGATTCTCTTCCTGGACATTCTGTTGCCCTCTGTTTAGCAGTTGCCTTTAAAAGTAAGGCAACCAATGATGAAATCTTCAGCATTCTGAAAGATGTACCAAATCCCAACCAGGATGATGATGACGGTAAGTGGAATTCAGTATTTCTTGAGTGGAACTATGTATAGGCCAAGTTAAAGCATAAACATAACTCTGGCAACATGATGCGCTTAAAGCAGTGTATCTGTATCTGTTTGACCTGTTCAGACTGTTAGTTGTTCTTAGCATCCCAGGTGTTTTCCCCTTATATAAAAAGAGATCCTAACATTTCTGTGATAATACCTTCCTTAAGAATATAAACTTCATCGTAAATACAAAGTGAAATATGTTACCATTCAAGGATTTTTAACCCCTGCTTTCACCATAGGTTCCTGAATAGAAAGACTTGGTGTATTATAAAGTTCGACATTTTCTCCAAGTCAAGCTATTAGAATAATAATGCTTAACATTTACTCAGTTATATACCATGTAATTCCAACCAGAATCCTAGGGGTTTTTCTGGGCAAGAGTGGGAAAATTGACAAAATAATTTATACAGTTGCCTGAATCAATAAATGGATATGTACATAGAAAAGCTACTTCATCAAAATAAGATATTAGTGACCTTTGGATATTTATTACTGGGATTTTGTTTGGATATCTCTAAGAAACTTGTGTTATGATATTAGAGAAAATGAGTTTAGAAAGCATAAGCCAAAATGATGGCATTAAATTTAGACATTGTCAGACATCTTAAGATATAAGCTTAAGTGTTAAGGGTTTGCTGGGTTTTTTTGTTTTTTGGGAGGTTTTTTGGTATTAATATAATAGAGACTATGAATAAGGAAACCTGTGTGATTTTTTTTTTTTTTTTTCAAGGAATGGATGATAGAATTAAGACAGTCACATAAAACTAAGAATTAAAATTACATGTGGTTTCATATTTGCAGTGTTTGAAATCAGTGACGGTCTTTTATTGTTTATTAGAACTAAAAAACATTACACTAATATCTGTGTATAGATGTGAGCATACCATCTATTTAGCATTTGAGGTAAGGCACCAAGGAATTGCTGTACTTACATTTTTCTATTTTACTATAAAATATTTTTCAGATGAAGGATTCAGTTTTAACCCATTGAAAATAGAAGTCTTTGTACAGACTCTGCTACACTTGGCAGCCAAATCGTTCAGCCACTCCTTCAGTGCTCTTGCAAAGTACGTATGAGTACAGAGCCTTTCTTGAGGGTTTGGGTATAGTAATTTTTACCTAAGATTGTTGAATATGAAGATCTTAATAATGTATAATTGGATACAGTGGGTTTGGGTTTGTGGTAGCTAAAATCTATATCCTAAGGCTTCCATCAGTCTGTTTGTACAGTTGGCATATGTACATGGTAAGCACTTTTTTCCATATAGACATTTAAAGTAGTGAAAAACCTAGATTTTTAGGACAGTCATATGCAGTTGGAAGTTCCCACGCTAAGTATCTTTGCAAAGCAATGTAAGAAGAAATTAGAATCAGCTACATTGTTGGGAGCCACCCAAAGGTTGACATCTAAAGACAGATATTTTTAACTTGTTAGACAGGGTCCAAAGGAAGAAAGAGCACATAGATTTTCCTCCAACCAAGCAGAGAAACTGAACATCTCACCCCATCTCTGCCTCCAAGGCTTTATGTTACTTCCAGGGTTCCCACAGAAGATGCAGTTTGAATATTCCACCATGTTTGAAGACAGTTCCTTAGTCCTTACCTATTCTTATAAACTGTAGCCCTGGGCTAACGGTAGTATATTGTAAATGTCTTGAGATTTTGTGACAGCTTCCTTAAAAACTATGAATCTCTAATCACACTTTTTGCATCCTTAATGGTTAATACTTACAGTTATTTTGCATTTGCATATTGCATTATAAATTGAGTAACATTGAAAAGGCTTTGAAAACACTGAAATGTTTAACGAATAAGTATATATGATATTTTTTTCCCACCATTATCAAAAGGTTTCATGAAGTCTTCAAAACCCTAGCTGAAAGTGATGAAGGGAAGTTACATGTGCTAAGAGTTATGTTTGAGGTCTGGAGGAACCATCCACAGGTAAAAATTAATTAGACATGTTGAAGCTCTGATTATATAGGTATAAAAATAAGACCGTTAATTGCTATTGTTTTGTTTGTAAAACATGAAATTTGACTCTGCCTAGATAATGGTTTTTAGATCTAATTCTTTCAGTGCTATGGAAGTAATGATGTTTGATTCATTCTTGAAAGAGCAAGCATTATTGTGATTTGGTTTTGAACTATAATATCTCAACATATTTTAAATGTTCAGCAAGAAGTTTATCTAGTCTATCCAATTTCTAAATACAAGCTCCAGATTTCTCAAACCTTGATATATATTGTGTATTATGAAGAAACATTTAAATAAATTTCATAAAACAGTTGAGTTTTTAATGATAAAACATTGTTTTACATTTAACTTCTGAGGTTCCTCGAAATTATGTATTTTTTTGAATAGGTATTAGTAACTGAAATTTAAATTTTTTTTTTTTTAGAGACAGAGTCTCACTCTGTCACCCAGGCTGGAGTACAATGGTGTGATCTTGGCTCACTGCAACCTCTGCCTCCCGGGTTCAAGTGATTGCCCTGCCTCAGCCTCCCGAGTAGCTGGGATTACAGGCGTCCACCACCACATCTGGCTAATTTTTGTATTTTTAGTAGAGATGGGGTTTCACCATGTTGGCCAGGCTGGTCTTGAACTCCTGACCTCAGGTGATCTCCCCTCCTCGGCCTCCCAAAGTGCTGGATTACAGGTGTGAGCCACCATGCCTGGCCAGTTTTTTCAAATTTTAACTGTTACTATTCAGAGTTTTTGTTTAGTCAACCTGTTTCTTGTAGTGCTAGAGCAAAGCAAAGGGGAGAATAAATCTTAAGACCTAATGATCAGGCCAGGCGCGGTGGCTCTTACCGGTAATCCCAGTGCTTTGGGAGGCTGAGATGAGTGGATCACTTGAAGCCAGGTGTTTGAGACCAGCCTAGGCCACAGAGTGAAACCCTGTCTATACTAAAATTACAAAAATTAGCCGGGCATGGTGGTACACACCTGTAATCTCAGCTACTCAGGAGGTTGAGCTAGGAGAATTGCTTGAACCTAGAAGGTGGAGGTTGCAGTGAGCCGAGATCGTGCCCCTCCACTCCAGCCTGGGTTACAGAACAAGACTCTGTCTCCAAAAAAAAAAGACCTAATGGTCAAATTGATCAATCAGTTCTACAGCCATCAAAACTAGATTTTATAGCCCTCCTATTTTACTTTTATGGCAGCAGTGTCGTGGCACATATACGTGTGTGTGTGTGTGTGTGATTTACTTGAATAATTCTTCTCTCATTGTAGATGATTGCTGTACTAGTGGATAAGATGATTCGTACACAAATAGTTGATTGTGCTGCAGTAGCAAATTGGATCTTCTCTTCAGAACTGTCTCGTGACTTTACCAGGTAATATGAATTATTTCATGAAACTTGTGTTCTCTAAGAATTGATATATGTGTGGTCTCTTATACACAAGCTTCAAATTCTGGTCCAAACCAGGTTGATATTAATATACTGTGGTCCAATCTGGTCGGATTGGACATGGCAAAAATTCCTAGACAGTGGAAACATACGCAGCCTGCATCTCTTAGCAGGGGCTCTTAGCAGGGACTCTCTTAAGTTGCAGCATCTCTTAGCAGGGACTCTCTTAAGTTGAATCAAGACTAAGCTAGTGAAGTAGAAATCCTGTTGAAGGATCCAGACTGTTGGGAGAGAAAACTAGCAAGAGCCAGCTATGTGCAGAGTCTCAGCTAGTCCAGATGGAAATCAGGAAGTGTTCCAGCTTCTGTGGGGATGGCACCTGGAATGCACACCAGGAAGTTGGAGAAACCAAAGTCAAAGTAGATTAAATCATGGGGGTATCTGGGAAGGCTTGGTGATTACCAAGATGCCTGAGGGATGGGGGAAAAGGGGTTGTCACCACAGTCATAATCTTAGGTTTAATGCAGAAGACTTATTCTGCACTCATTCCCCCTAAAGGAAAGAGTTTTTGCTGTTTGGTTCTTATTTGTGAAGTTCACAGACTTTACAGTTGATAGGACCAGGACAGCAGGAGTTGACACAAAGCAGGAAACTAAAGCAAATTACTTGTAAAAACATAAAAATCCATCACAACCTTTAACTTTTCCACTGTATCTGTTATTGCCAGAGGACACTGATCTGAAATATACTGAATCGTTAGGGTGATAAGGTATGATCTAAGGTTGTCATACCAGCCAGGTTGGCCTTCACAAATAAAGACAACAGAAGGACATTTTCAGATTTGTAAACTCCAGAAAACTAACCACCCGAGTATGTGTTAACCGTTGTCCTGAGTGATTTACATTTTCAGTTCATTTTATCCTTACCGCATCACCATAGAGGAGGTTCCATTATTGTCCACATTTTACAGAATAGGGAAGTGTCACAGAGTGCTTTAGCCTGCCCAAAGTCACACAACTAAGCACAGAGCCAGCATTCAAACCAGGCATTCTGGAATCTGTGTTGTGCTCAGCAGCTCCATCTGTTCTTTAACACCTAGCTCAAATATTTGTAACTCTGCAAACCTTTCCCTGACTACAGTCCACCGCCTTCAGAGTTAAAGTGCTCTGCTCTTTTGTCCTGTTTCGTAACATTCTAGACTTGGAGTTTTATGAACAGATTGTTTTATTATCTTCCACTTAAACTATTATTTGGGTCAAAATTTGTAGAAGGAAGTACAGTTGACCCTTGAACAACATCAGGGGTTAGAGACACCAACTTCCCGCCACCTACCCCACCCCTACACAGTCAAAAATCTGCATGGAACTTTTAACTGCATGGAAAATTTAACTAGTAGCCTGTTGACCAGAAGCCTTAGTGATAACGTAGTCGATTAACACATATTCGTGTTGTGTTAATATTCTGTATTCTTACAATAAATCATAAGAGAGGAAACATCATTCATGAAGTGAGAGTGGATCATCATAAAGGTCTTCATCTTCATTATCTTCACATTGAGTAGGCTGAGGAAGAGGCGGCGTTGGTCTTGTTGTCTCAGGTGGAAGAAAACCCATGTGTAAATGGACCTGCACAGTTCAGACCTGTATTGTTCAAGAGCCAACTGTACTATTCTGTGCTGGGTTAGGAGACCTAGTTTATAGACACAAAAGTAGCTAAGAAGTTACTTTAAAAAAAAAAAAAGAAAAGAAACACTTATGCAACAAACATTTTGAAGCACCTACAAAGTGATCTTAGTATGTATTTGCTAGTAAGAAAGCTGACATATAATTATCTCATTCTTAGAGCCTATCAGTTGATACCTATTATCAACTAATGAGTTTCTTAAAGGTTCCAAGAGAATAATTGCCTGAGTGTGCGCTAAAGTGTAAATAGTGTAAAGCATGTACAATCAGTCTCAGGTTAGGTCACCATTTTGAGAAAATTTCTACACATGGTGTTTACATTTAGGAGAGGAAAAATGTATTTCCATTTTTAATGTTAGTGTCCATCATAGTTTGCCATTTTAATTCAGTGAGTATATACCTCTAGTAAGGGATGGAAATAAGAAAAATGACTACACAGTACTGCCCTCAGGGGACTCACCTGAATCTAATGGGTGTGAAGATAGATATTTGCACAATTTACAATAAAAGACCAATTCATAAGTATTGCTGGAGAAATATGACTAATTCAGCCCAGAGGACAGAAGGCTGTATCAGCTGTTCAGAATGAATAGATCATAAAGGTTGAAAGGTTTTATTTTCTATAACCATAGCTTGACATACAATAACCAAATGCCATATTTCTTTAAGATTGTTCGTTTGGGAAATCTTGCACTCTACAATTCGTAAGATGAACAAACATGTCCTGAAGATCCAGAAAGAGCTGGAAGAAGCTAAAGAGAAACTTGCTAGGCAACACAAACGGGTAAGTTTTGTGTAAACTTGTAAATAGTTAAAGAAAATATACCAGAAACTCTGGAGAGGATTCAGAGTTCATTATCGTGATGGTATTTCATTTTTTTCTGAGCCCAAATTAATGCAGAGCTGTTTGCAGAAGCAGAAGAGGAGGAAGGAGCAGGTAGTGTGTTGTGTGCTGTTACACTGCATGATGAACCAGTTCAGGAAGCCACAAACTTCACTTTCCATAGTTTACCATCTCTGGGTCAGCCTCATGTTTGCACAAGGGAAGTAGCAGAAGGGAAGAGGACACTTGTATTTCTATAGGAGTCTCTGGGAGAAGAGGGAGAAGACTATAGATACTTACACTTTCCCCATACTGTGAGGAGGAATGGGGCAGTCATTCCCAAGTTAACATAATAGTTCTCATAGTATTAATTTAGTATTTTAGCCATTTTGGAGGGAAGCCGTGAGTGACTTAACATGATACTCTTCCTTATGAAAGTATTTTCCAGTGTTATGTGTATTTATCATAGTAGAAGGTGAAAAAAAAAAAAGTTGAGTTTAGTGCCCTACAGGAACCTTTAGCAAGTTTGAGTACAAGTCTCCGTGTAGACATATATGTATACATATATGGATATAAACACAGACCTAAAATACTGTAAGATAAATGGTGTCATCTCATTTTGTAGATGTTATAAAGTGAGACACAGAGAAGTTAAGTAGCATAGCTAGTAGGTTGCATAGCTGGTAAATGACCAGAGCTAGGTTCTGACACAAGTTTATCAGACTCCAGAGACTTTCTCTCATGCCACACTGTTTCTAGAAATGTGCTGTCCAACACAGTAGCTACTAGCTGCATGTGACTATTTTAGTTTAGTTAAATACAATTTAAAATTCAGTTCTTTGGTCACACAACCATATTTCAGGTGCTCAGTAGTAACGTGTGGTTGTCGTCCTAACAGGCCGCACATATTTATATCATTGGCCCCATTGAAGAAAGGTCTATTAGGTAGTAGTGCTCTAGAACCTTACCTTTGAGTGGTGTTAGGAAAGGACAGTCATGTACCCACGTGTCTAGAACATAAAGCAGACCTCATAAATAGGCTGTGTTTATAGAGAGAAAAGTAAGATTCTGTGAAATTCTGAGAGCAGGGTTTTGATAATTTTGCTTAAAGCGGAGAGGAGGAGATCAGTAGCTGGGGCCTTAGCAGTTAAGTATTACCTCAAAGAATTACCAGGCTTTCTAGATTCAGTGATGCCACTTCTTGCTGAAAGTACCTTGGTATGTAACACCTAGAGCCACGTTCTGGCTCTGCCACTTTCTGGCTGGGTGATGCTGGGAAAGTCATCTAACCTCTCAGCCTGTTTCTTTCTCTGTAAAATGGAAATAAACCATGCCTTGTTTTTCTTTTCCTTTAAAAAAAAAAAATCAAAATTCTATAAACTCTTCAGAGTGAGCTGGAGGGGGGCAATTATTAAAGCTTCACGGGAGTGTATTGAGCCCATCATTGCCAGCAGAAAGTCTTAAATGGCCCACTTTGAATTGTTTTATGTCAGCTGTAGCCATTTCTAAATTATAACAAGAATGAGCAGGCTTGGCCCGTAGGACTTGCTCAGTTTTTCTATATGGCCCATTAGGAGATTAATGATTAGCAGGCCGTCTCCCTGTTGTTACTGCTCAAATGGTCAAATAGTGATAAATTGTAGCCAAGTCCCCCATGTTGTTACCAAGACAAGTGCCACTAAATTTCCCTGGTCTAGATAAGAACCCATGGTATTTCTGAGTGAGAAGACAGTGTCTCTGAACCACAACAGGACTTTGAGGTATATGTGTGTGGGTGGCAGAGTGGGGGCTACTTTCACTGTAGAATATAAGTCTTAACATTTGGCCAGACACAATAAAATGCTTCCCCTGGAGGAGATTTAACACACTAGAATCTAAATGGTATTTTCCTTTTGTTCCTTTGCCTTCTGTAGCGAAGTGATGATGATGACAGAAGCAGTGACAGGAAAGATGGGGTTCTTGAGGAACAAATAGAAAGACTTCAAGAAAAAGTGGAATCTGCTCAGAGTGAACAAAAGAATCTTTTCCTCGTCATATTTCAGGTATCTTGGCTTGGGACATTTATACATAAAAGGAAACAATACGTTTCTTTAGTTTTAGTTTTTAAAAATGTTATTTTTCATTGTAAAAGGAAATCACATTTATAGAAGAGATTAAAAATAAAATTTAGGAAGGAAATAAAATACTCAGAGGCGCAACCATGTATGTTTCTGAGTTTCTCTGCTGTTTACTTAGTATTCTTGCATGAGCATTTCTCCATGCTTGAAAAAAAAATTGTGGGTTGCTTTTGTTATGTATGTCTCGTTTAATCATTCCTCATTGCTGATCATTTTCCTTCCACGAACATTTTAATGCAGATTCCTGTTAACATTTCTGATTATTTCATTAGAATAGATGCCAGGATAAGTAATATTACTAGGATAAGTAATTTAAGATCATTAAAGGTCTTTATGTATTGCCAGGAAGGACGTACCAACTCATGTTATTACCAGTCTGCCTTTCTAGGTTGACTTAATGAATAATAAAAGTTAGGCACACACACCACAAAGACAGGGCAGAACAAGCAATACTTTGGGGTTTCTTTATCATGAATTTTTTTCTGAAGTATAAGATTCTATCTCTAGTACTACCTTAACTTCTCCCTTTCCAGCGGTTTATCATGATCTTGACTGAGCACTTAGTACGATGTGAAACTGATGGGACCAGTGTATTAACACCGTGGTATAAGAACTGTATAGAGAGGCTACAGCAGATCTTCCTACAGGTATGTGGGGAACTTTGATTAGATAATAAACAATACTATTCTCAGCCACAAAGATTTTTCATTAAAAAAAAAATCCTTGTCAAATTTGTTAGGAGGCTATGTAGTACCTGTTAGACCCTTTAGCTCATGTCCATTTGCTGCTACCATTGCTCATCAGAATATTTAGGCTTAAACTGATTCTATACCACTTAGATTCCTAATCGCATCGCAACCCCCCCACACACACCCCTGCCTCACCTTTTTTTTTGAGATGGCGTCTCACTCTTTTGCCCAGGCTGGAGTGCAGTGACACGATCTCAACTTACTGCAACCTCCACCTCCTAGGTTTAAGTGATTCTCCTGCCTCAGCCTCCCACATTGCTGGGATTACAGGCGCCCGTCACCACTCCCGGCTAATTTTTGTATTTTTAGTAGGGACAGGGTTTCACCATGTTGGTCAGGCTAGTCTCAAACTCCTGACCTCAGGCGATCTGCCTCCACCTCCCAAAGTGCTGCTGGGATTACAGGCATGAGCCATGGTACCCAGTCTCCTAATTACCATTTTCTGTGCTGGGGATCCTAGCTGTAATATGAAATGTAGAGGACAAAAATATCAAGAGGACAGTAATTGGATTTATAAGTCCCTAAAAATCCAAGGTTCAGGTGGTAAATTGTACACAGAATCAAGGTAAGCTCCCAAGGGTCCCTCTGCAAAAGCAAAATGCCAGCACCTATTCTCACCTAGATTTAAGTTAAAGGTATATAGGAAAGTGGAGCTAATTCATTGTGTCTTCAGACACTACTCCCCTAAATCTTCATTTGTTCATTCTAGAAGAATGATTAATGTAGAAGTCACTCTAAGTTCAATTATTTGAGCCTCCAAATAGGGATTCCCTCTGATTTTAGTTACTGCCAGTTTTAAAAGCTTTAACAGTCTCTAGTCCTACAGGAATCTCTGAGTGTTTTCAAGGCTTATAGAGGAACACATAGAAAAAAGTGTATTTCATTTTCTGACTCTTTATCTTCCAGTTAGTCCTTGTCTGGCTGCTTTTTAAAAAGTCATAATGTATTATGCCCTGATTGGGGAGTGAGCCAGCTGAGCCTAGTCTGTAATAGTACTAGCAGCAAGCAGGCACTGCTGCCACTGCCTTGAATCATGAATTCTATGTACATGAAGTTGGTAAGAACTGGATTTTTTAAAAAGCTATTGAGCATTCATTTTTTTCATTTCCCTTTTTTTTTTTTTGTTAGGGACTTTTAGGGGTCCATTATTCCTATCAGCACTTTTTTTCCCTTCCTTTTTTCATCTTTCTGCAGCGTGGGTGGGCTGCTGAAGGAAATGTTCAACAAGATTGCTTATGTGCTTTTTCCTGACCTAACTACCCCCTTTTCTGTGTCCACAGCATCACCAGATAATCCAGCAGTACATGGTGACCCTGGAGAACCTCCTCTTCACTGCTGAATTAGACCCTCATATCTTGGCCGTGTTCCAGCAGTTCTGTGCCCTGCAGGCCTAAGGGTTTTTTCGTGAAGTTTTTTTTAATACGTTAAAATAATTTGTCTTATTTTTTGATGGTTTGAATGCTTGCTTTCTTGTAGTATCTTTTCACTTCTTAAAGGAAACAAAGGGGGAAGAGGACAGTGGATAACATGGCATTACTTTTAATTGCCCTGAAAAGCAAATACGTCCTAACGGCAGTAATGTGACGATGACCATGATGTATTATATATGTGACAGATACAACTTCTCTGTGATCAGTTTGGTATTTTTTTCTCCTTAAGGCACAAAATAATTGGTTTGAGGTATGTGAAACACTAGAGGTCAACCTTACATAGTATATAGAACTGATGGGTTTACCCAGCTACCCAGTAGCATAACTTTTCACAGCTCGGGGATAACTTAACGTGGCTGAAATAAAACTAAAAGTATGGTTTTTAAACTTTGGCATTTCATGATTTATCATCTCACTCTACTCTAAAACTGGTTGTTTCTTACTGAGGGTGTTCTCCATTTGAAATTTTCTCTTCAAAGTATTTTTAAGTAGTATCTTAAGACACGACTTGTTAGTAATAAAAGTGTTACTAGTTGGAAGAGTAGTTCTCAAATTTGTCTTAATGTAAATCACCTGGGAATCTTACAAGTTATTTTGAAATTTAAACCACCCTCTGAGGGTGGAACGCAGACATCCTCAGTAATCCTTAGTTTCCCCAGGTGATTCCAGGTTTGGTCACCATTATCTTAGAGCATCTACTCACTTCCTCTAGCCTCTGGGTTATTTGTCCAAGGTCTTATAGTGAGTTACAGAATACTAAAGTGGATGTAGAAGTGGTCAGATTGACTGAAACCATACCCTGAATTAGATGTGAGTTTAGATTTTGTTTATATGGATCCTGATCCAAAAAACTACGAAGTCCTGAGCTTGTTTCCTGTATGGTGTTGATGCTGAAATGACAGCCGTTTGTAAAATAATACACAAGTATGAGGAATTGTCTGACATTCCAAATTTAGAGGATTTTTAGACTTTTTTCATTAAACCTTAGAAAAAAATTACCAGTAATCCTACAACTACTGGTAGTGGTGTTGTGCATTTGCACAAAATAGGTATAATTTTTTCTTACTACATCCCAAGTTGATGATGCATTAAGCATTTTGCATATTTTGATATATTTTCGCTTTGGTTTACCATACATTTGAGTGGCTACAGAATGTGGTCCACTTAATAGACTGGAATTCCTAGGATTTTTAAATACCATACTGTTTAAGACAAAATACAAAATATTCAGAAAAATCCAGGTTGCGTGGTGGGTTAGTAAAACTAAAACCAGGTTCTTGGCTAAACATTCTCATTTATACTGTTTCTCCTTCCCATTGCTTAAGCACAGCACAAACTATGTAATTATATATAATTACAATTGACCCCTGAACAACATGGGTTTGAACTGTGTGGGTCCCCTTACTAAACATGGGTTTTCTTCCACCCCTGAGATGGCAAGACCAGCCCCTTGTCTTCCTCAGCCTGCTCGACATGAAGATGATGAGGATGAAGACCTTTATGATGATCCACTTCTACTTATTAAATAGTAAATATATTTTTTCTTATGATTTTATTTTTTCTGTATTTTCATAATTATATAGCATATGGGCTGGGCGCAGTGGCTCATGCCTGTAATCCCAGCACTTTGGGAGGCCAAGGCGGGCGGATTACAAGTTCAGGAGATCCAGACCATCCTGGCTAACACGGTGAAACCCTGTCTCTACTAAAAAATACAAAAAAATTAGCCAGGCGTGGTGGCATGTGTCTGTAGTCCCAGCTACTCAGGAGGCTGAGACAGGAGAATCGCTTGAACCTGGGAAGTGGAGGTTGCAGTGAGCCAAGATCGTGCCACTGCACTCCAGCCTGGGCGACAGAGCAAGACTCTGTCTCAAAAAAAAAAAAAAAAAAGAATATAGCATATAACATACAAAATGAGTTAATAAACTTATTGCTAAGTCTCCAGTCAGCAGTGGGCTATTGGTGGTTAAATTTTGGGGAAGTCAAAAGTTATATGCAAATTTTTCTGCAGGGTGTCGGCATTGCTAACCCCATGTTCAAGGGTCAACTGTAGTTTAAAATGACTCCTGTCTCAACCAAAGGATAACCTTTAAGGGATTGGTAACTCTGACTCGAAACTGCTTTGTAATCTTTTCACAATGTACTGAAAAGTGTGGCTAGTTATGTTTGATCCACATTCTAGAGAAATTTGTAGGTTTTAATTTCTTTTCTCTTGGTCCTCTCTTCATGTATAATGGTTGCTTTTAACAGCTGTTTGCTGATGTGATCCTGCTCTGTCCCAGTCTAGCAGCTTAAGTGTATGGAAAAACTGAACTAGGAATTGAGTTTTGAAGAAATAAAGGTGTGTAAGAGCAAACATTCAACAGTTGCTGTCCCCACTAATGAAGTTCATACAGACAAAAGATGGCATGTCACTGTACATCATACCTTGCAATAAATGCTCTGTTAAATTGTGTTGGTGCAATTTAACATGCTTTTGTCAAAGTAAACATACTGTTTTCCTAATTTGTAATTACACTTGAAAATGAAAGATGAGGAAGGGGCCTTGCCAACCTGTGTAGAGCAGATTTAGCTGTTAGTGAGGTCTGGATACCAGGATTGTCTTAAACTGATAAGGGTGTAAAGGGTGAATAGAAGCATCCCTTAACCACACAGATCTATTTTCTGTAATATAGTGGCCTTGATAATACATGCTCTTTAACTAGTGGTTATTATGTGCCAGGTGCTATAGGTTCACCCTATTAACTACTTCAGACAATCCTTTGAGAGATGATTATGCCCTCTTAACAGATAAAAACAGGCTTTTGGAGTAATTTACCCAGGGTCCACAGCTAGTAAGTAGAATCTGAACCTAGATCCACTTGGTCCAAGAGCTCCTTTCCCCCCACGGTGCTCTTACAGCAACCTGAACCCCTAGTTACTCTGTTGTCATCAAGCTGAAAGCTTTTTTCCCCAGACACATCTTGCTGCCCATTCAGAATCAGTTTTTACTGAGCTGTAATATTTAGCATAGCACATATTAATCGAGTGTGAAGGTGTTTTAAAAAATCAAACTTGAAAAATACATAAACATTTCTGTGTAGTCTCAATTATTTGGACATGACTTTTTTCGACTTACCCTTTCTCCAAGCATCTCCACTAGAGGAAAAAACAAATGTTTAAACTTCTTATTCTATTTGTAGGATAAAATGTCATGTCAAACAATTTGAAAGTATCTAGTCATTTTAACTAGAATTTGTTTTTGTCAAAAAAAAAAAAAATCCCTAGACCCAATAATTGTTTTGACAAGATATGGGAAAATTTCACTAACGTTGATGCACATGCCTGTGGTGATATGAGATTGGGTTGTCACTTCCTTTCCTTAGAAGTCTGAAAGCAGCATGGAAGCAAGCCTGGGACTAAATGAACATACTCCTAAGGCACTTAGGTGCACACCTGGCACCTGGTTGGTATATGCTCAGTAAATGTTAGCACTACTTAACGATGAACATCAGTGCCGCCTTTGATCAACAATCAGACACTCAACCATGAAAACAGCTCTTTTCCACTTTAATCCAACATTTAAAAAGCTATCTAGACTAATGTTAAGGCCCACAATAGAGGCCCCAAGAGTACAGAAAACATGATCAGACTCCTACAACTCAGTGTTTATTTCTGCTATTAGGGCTTTTTCCAGCAGTAGTTCCCCACTGTTTCCACCATCGTGGAGACAGAAATCGTCCTAAAAAACACATGACCAGAACCTGGGGTACAGTGGTACACCACCATTTGTTTCCTGGTTAAGAATCCAGTTCAGCCAGCTGTGGCCTTTATTGAAACTTTTTCCCTCTACCCCAGTCTAGGGTTTGCCTCGGTATCTTGTCCACAAATTTGTAGCTGACCTACCACTTTTTCACCTACTCTAGCACTCAGCTCCCATCTCTGTTGTAAGAAAGCAATCGCAGACATGACATTCTGCACACAACCAGGCCAGGCGACCTTCACTGAAATGTGCTAATTTTAAGTCATAACATACATAATTATTACTGAAGCATTATACAAGGATTTCATTCATCTATGAAGATGTTGCATTTTTTTGAATTTTGAACATGACCAATCTAAATTTCCTTTATTTAAATATAAAATTCTATAAAACAGGTCACTGAACTAAAAAATCACATTTTTTCATATGTCAGTTCATGGCCACACACAGTACAAGTCTTGCGGTACATGTCATCTTCTAGGTTTTCTTCTGGTCCATACTCATGTTGATGAACAATCGTCTCCCTTTTCCACACGCTGCTTCTTACTGCTCGCCGCAATTCTGAGAAAAAAATTTAAAAGTCATCTTTTCAGTGGTGCTATTCAGCTGAATCCAAAAATCCAAATCCATCAAGCTTTCAGCAATGTACGTGTGTGTGTCTATGTGTATTTAAACCATATATAGTTTACCTTAATTTTATAACAAAGTTGATTATACAAACTTGGCAAACTTACTTTCTTACCTCACTAGTTCGGCCTGTGAATCAAGTTTTCACTGGAGTAGTGTGAAACAAGAGATTCAGAAATGGTTATGTGGGTTGGTGGTATGCAAAACGGAACCATATTCAGAAGTGAGTTGAGTAACAAAATAGGACACATTCAGGTATGTTTGACTTCAGATAACAGAATGCCATAGTAGGAAAATGAGTCAGCTGAAATAAGAAAAAGTATTTTTAAGTTCTTGTCAGGAGCTACGTCAATAAGCATCAAGTCAAGCTTTGCAAGCAAACTAGAAAGTAGAGAACTCTACCACTACGCTGGTATGTTTTCATCTTAGAAAAACTGCTTGTGCAGTAAGACCTCAAGTCTATTGAAGTTCTTATAAGAGGGCTAAAAATAAGAATCACAGAATATTAAGAGCTGGAAAGAACCACAGAGTTTTGATTTTATTTTGCAGGTTGGGAAACTAAGCAAAGATAACTGTGAAGCCAGGACACTGGTCATATTCTAATGTTTGGAGCTTTTTCTGCTACTTCCTGTCAAAATCATTTTACAAAGAAAATTATATTGGGTTCTTTGAAAGCAACCAAGTAAATCATATTTTAATAAAAAGCAACACTTTACATTTCTATTCTCACCAGTTATCCACACAGTTCATCAATGTCTTTGACAGTGGCATTACCTAAGGGAGAGTATGATAGCTGTCTTGTATAATCTCAGCTATAAAACTCAACATACACCAAGTAATCACATATTTTCCCTAATTCATTTTAGATCTATAAGTAGTATCAAAATACTACTTGAATCTTATTTTCAGCTTTTATGTCATGAGGATGAAAACACAGGGCTATGTGTAAGGCAGTGTTCTTACCACTTTAAATACATTTAATCCTCACAACCCTTTAAGCTAAGTAGAATTATTCCAATTTTACAGATGAGAAAACCAAGGCACAGAGAAGTTATAAGTTGCCCAAGGTTGTATAGTTGATGGATACTTCTAGCATGAAAAGTACTTTGACATTATTTCAGTGCACATACCTCTAGATAGGTTTTGGTCTAGAAGAAAAAAATGTTCATCCAAACTCTTCATTTCTTTCAGTATCCTCTCATATTCTGAAGACCTTGGTTTTTCTAGATACAGATCTGGAATGCCCTCCTTCCTTTAAATTTTACCGTAGGATATCTTCTAAATAAAAAATGATATGCTAACCGGAACTCCACAGATGCCCCCTGGTTTCAGATAATGTAAGGAAGATGTTGCCTACTTGAATTCTAATACCTGCTTTTCAACTTGGTTCTCATGTAAGACATCTGGCCACCTTATCCCACTGAAAATCCTACAAAATTTTGCTGTGGCGCAATCATGCTAAATTAACTTTTCTGCCTAATTTGAATATTATGTGTACTTAAAAAGAGGTACCAAAGAAAACTTTTCTGAATACTAAAAAAAAAAAAAAAAACTTGTAGTAAAACTCTTTCTAGCCATAATTGAACCTAAGGTTTTACACTGACTTTGACTTTTTCTCCCCACTCTTCAGCTAATGTGTCAGGCTTAATGGTAAGAATAAAGCCACATCTTTAATTTATTTACTAGACATTCCTGGAAAAACTTGTGCCAGAAAGGAAGTATTTTGGGCCAGGTGCAATGGCTCATGCCTGTAATCCCAGCACTTTGGGAGGATTATCTGAGCCCGGGAGTTCAAGACCAGCCTGGGCAACATAGTGAAACCCCCATCTCTTTAAAAAAAAAAAAAAAAAAATTAAAAAAAATGTTTTTAATTAGCTAGCCATGGTGGCATATGCCTGTAGTCCCAGCTACTTGGGAGGCTGAGGTGAGAGGATCACTTAAGCCAAGGAGTTTGAGCCTGCAGTGAGCCGTGATTGCACCACTGCACTCCAGCCTAGGTGACAGAGCGAGACCCTGTCTCAAAGGAAAAAACAACAGAATATAAGGAAGTATTTTTAAATAGATAGGTCTGGAGTTTTTTTCACCCTTCTTTCCCTTTCTGAACAATCCAGTCCTATGGAGCAAGTAAAGCATCCGCAGCAGGGTGAGAGAGCCCAAGAAAAAGAGGGCTCCCTCCAGAAGAGGAGGCAGCAACAGTAATGGGAATTAGTCACACACAGGGCTTCGATCAAGTCACTAGATTAAGGATCATGGGAGCCACCAGGTTTCTCATCATCCAAAAAGCCCGTATAAGTAAAACTAAAATGACCAATGAAATTTTAGAACTGGATGTATCAGTGTGTAAACTCAAGGTTTACATATATTTATAGACAGAGACATAGAAATACAGGTACGCATGTGTTGTGCTAGAAAGCAGGAGTGCTCAAGAAATGATGACATAAGGCCAGGCATGGTGGCTCACACCTATAATCCTAGCACTTTGGGAGGCCAAGGCAGGTGGATCAACTTGAGGTCAGGAGTTTGAGACCAGCTTGGCCAGTATGGTGAAACCCCCATCTCTACTGAAAACACAAAAATTAGCTGGACATGGTGGCACAGGCCTGTAATCTCAGCTACTTGGAAGGCTGAGACAGGAGAATCACATGAACCCGGGAGGTGAAGGTTGCAGTGAGCTGAGATTGTGCCACTGCACTCTAGCCAGGGTGACAGAGGGAGACTAGGTCTCAAAAGTAAACAAGTAAATAAAAATTAAAAAGGAAATGACATGTCAAAAGATACAAAAGCTAGTCACTAGGCCAAATCAGACCATTTAAGCAACAAAGTAAGGACAGAAAGAACCAAAGCCACTGGAGAAAAACAGAAATTAATGAATTCATACCAATAAGTAAATGGGGCAAAGGGTGTTACAGAATGCTGACTGCCAACTGCTTAAATGCAGAAGGAATGCTGGAATTAGAAGACAATTCTTATAACCATCATACTAAAGACTGGTTCTAGCAAGAACCATCAATGGATGGATACTAAATCTAGGCGGATACAATTTCTTTTTGCTTATCAAATCAAAAATCAGAATTACCACTGAGGGCTGACAGACATCAGTGCCTCCAGATACGAGGCCCTGAGAAAAGCACATCACTTACATACTGTCCCTGGCCTGAAATGCATACCCTACATCCAGCCAGCAGGACACACCAGAAACTGCCCCAAGTGAGAAGCATGTTTTGAAAGGCAGGGCAGGGGAAGCAGACTTTTCTTCAAAAATGTCAATGTCATAGAAAATAAGAGCTGTGTAAATATCCCAGAAAAGTTTAGAAAGACTTGGTACCTAAAGCCAATACCCAATCCCAGACTGGATTCTGTTCTAGAAAGGAATCACTAAAAAGAATATTAGATCGGCCGGGCGCGGTGGCTCGAGCCTGTAATCCCAGCACTTTGGGGGGCCGAGACGGGCGGATCACGAGGTCAGGGATGGGAGACCAATCCTGGCTAGGCACGTGAAACCCCGTCTCTCACTAAGAAATACAAAAAACTAGACCAAGGCGAGGTGAACGGGGTGGCCTGTAATAGTACCAGTATGGAGGCTGAAGGACAGGCGGAGAATGGGTGAAACCCGGGAGGCGGTAGCTTGTGCGCGTGAGCTAGAATCTGGCCCTGCATCCGAGCCTGAGCGGCGGAGCGAGGACTCATCTCAAAAAAAAAAAAAAGAAAAAAAAAAGAAATACAGAAAAGACTAGCGGGCTGACGGTTGGCGGGCTCATGTGCGCTACCCAGCTAAGGAGGCTGAGGCAGGAGAATGGGCGTAAACTGGGAGGCGGAGCTTCAGTGAGGCTGAGATCCTAGCCACTGCACTACACAGACACAAAAAAAGCGGAACAGACAAGACTCCGTCTCAAAAAAAAAAAAAAAAAAAAGAAAGAATATTATGAATCAACTAAACAAACTGGGAAATATGAGGGCAGATTAGACACTCTAAACATTATCTAAATTCAATGCTTTAAATATAGTTACCAAGTTAAACAATATTATACTTTGGTTGTGTAACAAACAAAAAATATACTATCCCTAGTTAGGAGATATACACTGTATATTCTATGGGTAAGGTTCACGGTTAATGTGATACAACTTAGTCTATAAAATGGTTGAGAAAAAAATAAAATACTGTATGATGTATAGAAGAGCATGCAAAATTATGCAAAGTAGCATAAAGTGTTAACAAGTAAAAAAGAGTAAATCTTGGAATAAATATATGAAGGCCCTTTCGGTCATTATTAATATAATGAAAATATCCTTGCAAGTTTTTTATAAGTTTGAAATTATTTCCACACAAAATAGTTTAAAAAGAAGGAGCTAGTTGTTGCATATAGGGATTCTACTGGACAAATTTTGGGACAATTTCAAACACCAAAATGAACAGTACATGCGCATGACTGGAATGGACCTGATACAGATCTGGAATGCCCTCCTTCCTTTATAATTTATACCTTACGGAATATCTTGCACTTCAGAATGAATGAAACAATGAGTCCGCTGATGCTTTATTAAAAAAAAAAGTTTTAAAAAGAGAGAAAAGCTCCTCTTTCCAAAGATGACCAAATTTATCCAATTTACGAAAGTGACAGAAAGTAAAAAATACATCCATTTATTATCCACAAGATTAATAACTAAAGAAAGACTCAGGCCCTGTGTACTAAATAAACATAAAGAGAACAGGTAAAGAAATGGAGAATTCACCGCAGTTATTAGAAATTCTCACTAATTTACAAAGGATAAAGGGTACCTTTACCAATGGACAAACGTGGTCAGGACACCACCTTAGGACCTTGAGGCGTCCTCTCGTCTCGCCTTAAGAAGACTGGGTACATGTGTCGTGACTGGATAAATGTGCAAACACACTCGCTCCTGCACATGATGTCCCCCAAAAACGCCATCGACCT